TCCTGAACGAGAGTCGGACGTTGATGAGCACATCGCGCTCATTCGTACGATTGTTGAGGACACCAGGAAGGAGTTGGCCCGAGCGAATGAGCTCAGTTCGGCCAAAGTGGACAAGCATCGGACTCCCGCCCCTGGGTACCAGGTTGGCGACAATGTGTGGCTGGACACGCGGCAGCTGCGTCTCGAGACGGTGGCCACGAAGTTCAACCCGACGTACATTGGTCCGTTCGAAGTGCTCGAGGCGGACAAGCACACCGTGCTGCTTCGCCTGCCAAAGTTCATGAAGCATCATCCTCGCTTCCATGTTTCACGGGTCAAGGCCGTGGGGGCGGATGGCATACCTGGCCGGCCAGTGTCCGAGCCTCGTCCCATTCACATGAAAGGCGAAAAGTATTATCAAGCGGAAAAGATTGTTGATTCTTTTATTGACAAAGGAACGCTCTGGTACAAGGTCAAGTGGACAGGCGTGGAGGAACCGACTGTTGAGCCGTGGGAGGTGTTTGGAGAACACCATCGAATGACGGAGGCATTTCATAAGGCTAACCCGAACAAGCCTACTCGGGAAAGTGCCAAACGCAAGAAGCGCTAGTGCTTTGGGAATGTCTCGAAAGGGGGGGAAAGAAAGGCGGAGTGTTATGGATTGATGTGTATCTGTATTTGGAGTGTGTTCACTCGTCGCTTTGTATAAGTGAAGTCTCTTGTTTCCCTATCATCACTCTCATCATCAACCCATTACTCGTATCTTCGTGGAAGGATCTCTGATCATAACAGTTGCTTCACTTTTCTTTCTTTTTTCTTTTTTTTTTTTCTTATTTCCTTGCTTTGTCTTTTTTTGGGATTTGATTTCACTCGCGCGGTGCTCTACAACATGAAGCCTGGTGGCAATCCGTCGGACATGAAAGGTCTCAAACTGGTGGGGTACTACTCGAAGCGTCTGTCAAGCGCGGAGCGGAACTACAGCACGACGGATAAGGAGCTGTTGGCGATTGTGCGGGCAGTGCGTCGTTGGAGACATCTGCTGACGGGATCCAGGCACAAGGTGATTTTCAAGTCGGATCACAAGAACTTGGTGAACTACCAGAACTTGGAGGTCAGGAACTACCGGATGGCGCGATGGATCGAGGAGCTCAGCCAGTGCGATTTCAAGATTGTGTTCACGGCTGGTGTGTCGCAGCCTCTGGCAGACTGCCTGTCACGCAACCCAAACTTTGAGGGCAGTGTGCGAGGCGAAGCCGCTCGCAAGGCGTTCACGCCGGGTCAGCTGGACAGCACGGTCGCGGCCGCAGCCACAGTGGCGAGCACGTCGGCTGGAGCAGGTCAAAGCGCAGCGAAGGCGGTGGCGGCGGAGGTGTCGATCGAGGATCAGATCCGCGCACAAGTTGGCACCAGCCCCCCTGACCAGAAGTTGCAGAAGCTGCTCGGACTCACGCTGGCTGATGGCCTTTGGAGAGATGGGAGCAAGCGCATCTACGTCCCGGAAGGTGACTGTCGTCGACTGGTTGTGGCCGAGTGCCACGATGCCAAGGGGGCGGGTCATGGTGGCAAGCACCGCACGAATTTGCGTGTCAAGCAAACGCATGTTTGGCACAACATGATGGAGTACATCGAAAAGTACGTGGCTGGTTGCACTCTCTGCCAGCAGAACAAGCCGTCGCATCTCAAGCAAGCTGGCCTGAACGCATCGATCGAAGTGCCTGCTGGTGTGTGGCAGGATGTGGCTATTGACTTGGTCACGGATCTGGTGCCGTCGAAGGATTACCGTGGGCACAAGCACGACGCGGTGCTCACTGCTCAGTGCTTGCTTTCAAAGCAGGTGCATCTCATCCCGTTTTCCAAGGATAGCAGTAGCGCGATGGTGACGAGGGCGCTCATGGATCGCGTGTTTGCGTACCATGGGCTGCCCAACACGCTGCTGCACGATCGTGATTCACGGTTCCTAGCTGAGCACATGACCAGCATCTGCAAGGGGCTTGGCATTAGGCAGCGGGCGTCAACGTCGTTTCACCCCAACACGAACGGGTCTCTTGAGCGACAGCATGCAGTGATGGCTCAGGTTTTGCGTAATTACGTGAACCACAGTCATGACGATTGGGTGGAGTTGCTACCCTGGGCCGAGATTGCCATGAACTCGTCGGTCAACGCAAGCACAAAGGTGACGCCGTTCATGGCGAGCCAGGGCTTTGAAGCTCGGACGTCATGGAAAATTACTCCTCCTGAACGAGAGTCGGACGTTGATGAGCACATCGCGCTCATTCGTACGATTGTTGAGGACACCAGGAAGGAGTTGGCCCGAGCGAATGAGCTCAGTTCGGCCAAAGTGGACAAGCATCGGACTCCCGCCCCTGGGTACCAGGTTGGCGACAATGTGTGGCTGGACACGCGGCAGCTGCGTCTCGAGACGGTGGCCACGAAGTTCAACCCGACGTACATTGGTCCGTTCGAAGTGCTCGAGGCGGACAAGCACACCGTGCTGCTTCGCCTGCCAAAGTTCATGAAGCATCATCCTCGCTTCCATGTTTCACGGGTCAAGGCCGTGGGGGCGGATGGCATACCTGGCCGGCCAGTGTCCGAGCCTCGTCCCATTCACATGAAAGGCGAAAAGTATTATCAAGCGGAAAAGATTGTTGATTCTTTTATTGACAAAGGAACGCTCTGGTACAAGGTCAAGTGGACAGGCGTGGAGGAACCGACTGTTGAGCCGTGGGAGGTGTTTGGAGAACACCATCGAATGACGGAGGCATTTCATAAGGCTAACCCGAACAAGCCTACTCGGGAAAGTGCCAAACGCAAGAAGCGCTAGTGCTTTGGGAATGTCTCGAAAGGGGGGGAAAGAAAGGCGGAGTGTTATGGATTGATGTGTATCTGTATTTGGAGTGTGTTCACTCGTCGCTTTGTATAAGTGAAGTCTCTTGTTTCCCTATCATCACTCTCATCATCAACCCATTACTCGTATCTTCGTGGAAGGATCTCTGATCATAACATTGTCTCCTTATTTGTGACCTGTCAAATTCATTCTTCTTTTTTAATCTCGGTTTTTTTGCCAATTGGGATGAAACTCCTTCCTTGGCTGGTCGTGCTGCTGTTGGCCATCACCGCGGCAGCCGGCGGTCGCTGCGCATCTGCCGAGTATGTCGAGCAGCGTCCTGGCTACCACTTTACCCCACAGGAGGGCTGGATGAACGATCCGAACGGACCCATGTACATCAACGGCTTGTAAGACCCCCGCTCATCGAAACTCCTCGCTGTCGTCGTCATCGTCGCGCTCTCAACCACTTGTGCATTGTTTAGCTATCACTTGTTCTACCAATGCAACCCGTTCAATCCGTGGTGGTACGAGATCCACTGGTGCCATGCGATCTCGACCGACGCGCTGCATTGGACGTACCTTCCATTCATCCTGGCGCCCGATCACGAGTACGTTCTTTCCCCCTCCGCACCACCCCTCATCTCTCCCCCGTCTCTCCCCTTGCTCGTCATCCCGATCGTTGTAGATGTGGGGTTGTCTCATGACGAGCGACTCGCCTGAGCGATCGTGATTTCCGTCGCAATCCTTGCTTCCCGCTTCGTCGCTTCGTACGACTGCAGCTCAACTCCTTCGACTCTGTTGTGTATGGCAGTTACGACGCGTATGGAGTATACTCGGGCAGCACGACCATCCAAGACAATGGCGTCCCAGTCATCGTCTACACTGGCGTTTCGATGAATGTAAGCACTTCTCAGCCACTTACTGCAGTGTCATGAACATGGTTGGATCCCAATGAGTGTTGAGTGATGTGTTCCAACGGCTCTTGTGTCTAATCTTCTTGGGTTGTTTTGCTTTTTGATCGATTCCTAGCTGACGCAAACTCAGTGCGTCGCATACCCCGCCAACATGTCCGATCCTTACTTGACCAACTGGACGAAATCGGCCAACAATCCCATCATTACCACGAGCGGATTGCCGACCGACATTGATCCCAAAAACTTCCGCGACCCGACCACGGCGTGGATGGCGAACGGGCAGTGGAATCTTCTGGTCAGCGGCGGCATCATCTACCCGAACGACCGCGAGGGCTCAATCCTGCTCTTCACCTCGCCGCCGTCCAGCAGCTTGTCGGAATGGAAGTTTAACAAGATTCTGTACACCAACAACGACTCGGGCGGCATGTGGAACTGCCCGGACTTTTTCCAGATCGATCGCTCTGACCCGAACTCGCTGTGGATGCTCAAAGGCTCCATCTTTGGCGCCTACGACGCCTGGTCCACCTTGAAGTACAACCAAGCGCAGCAAGTGGTGGAGCTCGTCAGCCCCTCGATGGGCGGTGGCCAGTTCCAGTACATTGATATCGGCCCGTCCTACTATGCCTCCAAGTCCTTCTTTGATCCCAACATTGGCAAGCAGGTCCTGATTGGCTGGCTGCAAGAGGAGGAGAATACCACGTACTCTCAGGCTCGCGGATGGGTTGGTGCATACACTCTCCCGCGCGTGGTCTCGCTGGACACGGACAACGTTTCTGTCGTGTTTACGCCGCATCCCAACGTGGTCTCTTTGCGCGACGACAACTTTAACGCCACTTGCATTTCGCTCATTCCAGGATTCCCTTCTCGCATCCCACTGATTAGCGACCAGCTGGAGCTCATCTTCCGCCTGCAGCTCCCGTATCCGCTCTCGTCAGACAGCATCAAGCGAACACGGCCCTCGAGCAAACTCCTGGAGCGCTACAATATCGTTGCTCCCGACGACACCCTTGTTTACGGCCTCAACGTGCGTGCGTCGAACGAGGACGAAGAGTTTACGCCAATGTTCTTTGCCATCGATCCCTCTGGTCTTTCGGAAGAGGCGGTGCGCCTTGCCGACCCCAACGACCCCTTCATTGCCACCTTTGCCATCACTCGGCTCAACAGCTCGCAGGCGCAGCACGGCAGCAACACGACCATCTATGGCAACTTTAAAGTCACTCGCCCGCAGACGCATCTGATTGAATTTGACATGCACGTCTTCATCGATCACTCTGTCATCGAGGCATACGTGCAAGGCGGTCGCCTGTGTGCCTCCGCCCGAGTGTACCCGTCCCGCGAAGACTCCATGTTTGTTGAAATCTTTTCCGACCAAGCCGTCGTTGGCGAGATTGTGAGTCTCAGTTCGTGGCGCATGCTGGACTCGATGCCCCCGTCCGGTCCCTAACCGCGGGAGCTTTCTTTTTGAACGCAATTCATTTTGAATGTGCGGTGGGGAAGTAACTCGCTGCTTTGCGCTTCATTTGGAGAAGTTGTTGAGTTGTGGTTGTACAGTTTGATCTCTTGTTTTTGTTCCCATTTTGTTGATTTGGTTTGTTGTTTGGAATATCACTCTTCTTTTTTGAAAAACATCTTTTAGACCCATGGGGTTGATTGGACTGGGGTTGCTGGCTGTCATCGGCCTTGTCGCTTCTTTGTTCAATGGCGCTGACGCCGAGTACGTCCAACAGCGGCCCGGCTATCACTTTACGCCCAAGGAGAACTGGCTGAACGACCCGAACGGCCCCATGTATCTGAATGGACTGTAAGTGCTTCGCGAACACAACCCTCTTTCAATGCAGTCGACGGGTGTGTATAGAAGCAATTCTCTGAGTGACGTTCTTTTGGTGTTCGGTGCGTTTATTCTTCCGTTCCTACCCTTTTTTTTTTTTTCTTACTATTCGTCTTGTACCCTCGCTCTGACCACAAACCTCACTGGCAAACCACTCCTGTGTCAACGCGTGAATGAATTAGGTACCACTTGTTCTATCAGTGCAATCCAAACAACCCGTGGTGGGGCGACATGCATTGGTGCCACGCCGTGTCGACCGACCTTCTTCATTGGGAGCATCTTCCGATTGCGTTGTATCCCGACCAAGAGTAAGCATCAAGTTTGATGGTTGATTCTGTTTGACATTGGTGCCGTGTTCTGGCTGTCGTGTACTGGACGTGGACTGTTTCGAAACGAGCGTTTTTTGGGCGACAAAAAACTCTAACATTTTGGGCATTTGCTTTTCGTCTGTTTCCGCTTGGCCATGTCTTCAGCTACGATGCAAACGGCGTGTTTTCCGGCAGCGCTACCATTTTGGATGGCGGAATGCCCGTGCTCATGTACACTGCAGTCGACATGAATGTAAGAACCGTTCGTGTTTGTTCGATTTTGTCGCCGCTTGCTTTTTGTTTTTCAGTAACTGACACACGCTGATCACACCCAACATCGATTGCAGAACTTCCAAACCCAGGCCGTGGCATACCCAGCAAACATCTCAGACCCCTTCTTGACCAACTGGACCAAGCCGGCGTCCAACCCGATCATTCCGGACAATCTCTTTCCCGACACTATCGACACACAAAACATTCGAGATGACACCACTGCTTGGCTGACGAACGGTGTGTGGTACACGCTGATTGGCGCTCGCCTCGACTACCCCAACACGACCAATGTGAACGTCTCGTACGGTGGAGCAGTGCTGCTCTCCTCGCCCGTGTATGCGGGTCTCTCCAAGTGGACCTTTGAGCGAATCTTCCATACAAACAACTTTACTGGCGACATGTGGGAGTGCCCAGACTTTTTCCCGATCGACCGGACCAATTCTTCGTCCTTGTGGATGTTCAAGGCCTCCATGCAAGGGTACGATGCTTGGTGCACCTTCCACTACCATCCAGCCAACCAGCACCAGCTCAGGCTGGCCAGCCCGGATGTTGGCACGAGTCAGTATCAGTCGCTCGATATTGGCTGGTCCCACTATGCTTCCAAATCGTTCTACGATCCGACCATTGGCAAGCAAGTCTTTTTCGGCTGGCTGCGCGAGGAGGACAACGACGCTCCAACCCGTGGCTGGGCCTCTGCGAATACATTGCCGCGCGTTGTCACACTTGATACCGACGGCGTCTCGGTGCTGCTCAATCCGCACCCGAATTTGGTCTCGTTGCGCGAGGACAGCTTCAATGCCACGCAAATGCAGCTCATCCCCGGCAACCCGACGCGTATTCCCCTCATCGGCGACCAGATGGAGATTCAGTTTAGCGTGCAGCTCCCCTACCCGCTGCCGACGCAATGCCTGACGCGTGTTCACTCTCCCAAGGCTGTGCTGGCGCGGTACAACATTTCGGTTGCATCGGACGTCCTCATCTACGGCGTGAATCTGCGCACCTCGAATGACAACGAAGAGTTCACTCCGCTGTACTTTGCCATCGATCCCTCCGCCCTGTCCAAGGAGGCAGTCCTTGCCGCAGATCCCAGCACGCCATACGTGGCATCCTTTGGCTTCACCCGCACCAACAGCTCCCAGACCAATCAGGGCTCGACCAGCTCCCTCCAGGGCGACTTTAAGGTGGATCGCCCAACTGGCTCGCCGTCCACCATCACGTTCAGCATGCAAGTGTTTGTCGACCATTCGATCGTCGAGGCCTACCTGCAGGGCGGCAGACTCCGCGCAACCGGTCGCATCTACCCGGTCCGCGCCGACTCGATGTTTGTCGAAGTCTTCTCCGACCAGTCTGTCGACGGTGAAGTTGTCAGCATCAGCGCCTGGCAATTGCTTGATTCGATGCCTCCTCCGCCGATTGAATGAAGGGGAGGGTGGTGCAACGCAACGATGGTCTGGAAAAAAAAAAAGTTGCAATCCAAAATTCTTTTGTGTTTTTGAACGCGAGATATCTGCATGTCGCCTCAAACAATAACAATGTTAGTTTGGGTCAGCTGATGCCGTTCCTGCTTGGTACGGCTCTTAACGGAAGAGTTTGAAGGGTCGGAATACATCTTGAATCTCAGACTTGACGTACGGTCGTGTTGCGATGGCTGTGGGAATGGCTTCCGGTTGCTCCAGCCACAGTTTATGGTCGATGTTCTTTTCCTTCAGCTGATCTCCGAGTTGCCACAGAGCGGCTTCATCTGCGACCTGTGAGAATTTTTAGTTGACAGTTACAGCAGCGAAACTTAGATCCAATCATCAAACAGCCCCACTCTGACCAAGTCATTCACAATTGACCAAATGCAAAAAAGCACGAGTACACGCACTTCAACCACCACTTTGTGCATGCGGTCGATCTGCTCGTCGCTCAGGTACTCCTCCGTGCAAGGGTGCTTTCGGAACGTCCAGATGGCGGCGCTGGACGCGTGGCAGGCCTGTGTCGCGACGGATCCGAACGTCCACTTGAGCGTCTAGTGTAGATGCATTCACAAGTGTCTTGTTGAGTGAGTGGGGCTCGAGGATGGGGGTGGAGGGGAGCGGTAACGAAGGCGGACAACGGCTGTCTCACTTTGAGCAGGTCTCTTCGGATGGCAATGTACTGCACAATGACGGGCGCCGTGGCTGTGACTGCTGCACTGACAGCCGAGGTTGTTGCGGCTGCTGTTGGAACTGCCATGGCCGAGCGGCAAACAGATCAACAACAACAACAAAAAAAAAACTAAGACTGAGCTGAAAAAAGCTAAGAGGCTGAGAATTGGATATATTTGGAACGACGAACTTAGAGAGGGAGAAACAGAGAAGAACAGAGAACAGCATGCGAGCCCAACCATAAGAGTCGAAGGTGGCTGAGAGCAACCAAGATATAAGAAAAGAAGAAAAAAGGAAAAAGCGCAACACGAAAAAAAAAAAAAAAAAAAAATGAAAACCGTCAGCAAACATTAGGAGATGAACAGCAGTGACATCAAAACCGAATTGACAGCACAGTGCCAACCCGAACAAGTGAAATCGGGTACGAAATGCAACAAACAGAAAAAGAGTGGAAAGAGGAAGGACAAGGAACGAGGAAAGCAGCGGCCCGCTTGCGGTTTCAGCTATCCAGGTTTTGTTGTTGGCGGAGGTGCATTCCAGCGGCTATTGTGGCGCGGTACTGTTTCAAAAGTGCATTGAATTGCTCGCACCACCCATATGCGTCTGCGCTGAGGTCCTCGAGATAATAGGTGCGGTTTGGCTGCAACAGCACAAACAGACAAATAGAGTGAGCAACAAGTACGACCAGCAAAGCACAAAGCAGGTCGTTCAACGGGGTTTTTGGTGCATTCGTACTGTGTGGATGAAGAAGGTCTTTTTGTTTTTGACTTCAAAGCGCATTTCGGTCGACCAGGGAATTTCGCCCTTGATTTCCATCTTGTCGACGTCAATGTACAAGCAGCGTGGCTTGTCGGTGAGTACTAGTTGCCGCCGTTTTGAGAAGAGACCCTTTCGCTTGTGGATAATGCCCGTCTTGATGATGAGCTCGTCAACTTGAACAAAGCGATGCCTGTGTTGGGTTCGATGGAAGAGAAAAAAAAAAAACCTGAGTAACGAGACCTAAAGGCTGAATAGGAAGAAAAAAAAGGAAGGAGGTGGAATCGAAACCTTTACCATTGAGATTCTTGTGCTTGTCTTAGCAACAATTGAGATCGCATTCCAGCTCGCTCCGGCGCGGTGAGGGTGAAAGACTCGAGTGCCGATTGCAAAGGAGCTGCCTCTTCATCATCATCCTGGCACGATTGCAAAAGACAGAGGCGGTCAGTCAAGAGGCAGACACAAGCGCACGCAAAAACAGCAAAGACATACATCGCGAATTACGCTGTGCAAGGGAACGCTGTTTCGCGAGATTGGGGGGAGATACGGCACCAGTGCCGGAGGTTGTTGCATGTGAAGAGAGTTCCACTCGAGGCCTGTCATCAAGCGACGGAAGAGGGCGCAACACAGAACAAACAAAATAAGCAGCGATGACTGAGCAAATGTATGAACAAGAAGAAAACCCCGACTTTTCATAAGAAAAAAACTCCCCATACCTCGAAAGAAGGGATGAGACTTGATGGCATTGACGCCACCGGCAGAGTCCGAGCCAAGTCGCTTGGAAGAGTCAAGCACCAGCAACTTTTCGACGAGATCGCGCGCGGCTGGCGGAAACCCGTTGGGAATGGAGTAGTCCAATTTGGTGATTTTTTGGAAGGTTTGGTACTCGTTTCCAGCACGGAATGGAGGCCGGCCGGCAAGCATTTGGTAAATGATGCAGCCGAGGGCCCACCAATCGGACGCCTTGGATGCAATCTTTTCCGTGAGCAGCTCGGGCGAAACGTACTCGGCAGTGCCGACAAACGAGTTTGCGCGCACGTCCGTCTCTGCATCCTGGCCGATCAAGTAGGCCGATCCAAAGTCTGTAATCTTAATGTGCATGTCCGTGTCCAAAAGGATGTTTTCTGGCTTGAGATCGCGGTGGATGACACCGAGATTGTGCAGATATTCCAACGCAACGACAATTTCGGCGGCGTAAAATTGTGCGCATCGTTCTGAGTCGCAAAACAGGAAAGGGGGGGGGGTGACATGTGTTCAATGTCGGGAAAACGACAAAGAGTGAGTAACAGAGGACTGGAGCCGGATTCCAAACACAACACTTCTCCGATCAAAAAGTCAGGCGAATGTAAAAAAAAAAAAAAAAAAAAAAGACGTCACTCACCGTCAAAGGACCCTAGCTTCTTAATGGTGGTGAGCAATTCACCGTTGGCGGCAAAGCTAATCACAAAGTACAGTCGCTCGACGTCTTGGAAGGTGTAAAACAATCGAACGAAAAATGGATGATTGACTCTGTTTAATACGTCCTTTTCCGTGTTGACGTACTTGACCTTCTTTTCCTGTGTTGGGCATTCAGGGAGGCAGATCGTGAAGATGAGAAGCAGCCACACACACACGCACAGCAACTCCAACATTTATGTCCAATGAAATCGTGATATCGCAGCCTGTTACCTTGATGATGTGCTTCTTTTCGAGAATTTTGACGGCAAAGTAGCGACTGGTGGACTTTTCCTTGGCAAGCACGACGGTCGAGTACGAGCCTTCGCCGAGGACGTCGCCAAACTCAAAGTCTGACGGGGCGCGCTTGCGCATGCTGTCTGGGTTTGGCGAGTTGGCGGCGGCGGAAGCAACGTTCGTGTTTGTCACGTTGGCCGACGGTTGCCGTGACAGAGGACCCGCTGGCTGGGGCGGCGATGACGGCTGGAACGGGGCAGGGGACTGGGGCGGGAAGGCCGCAGCGAGGGCGAGCGACTCTGTGGCAGAGCTGGTGGAGGTGGTGGACGCGGCGCGGTTGTGCTGCATCTGGAAGCTGGCTGCTCCACCACCGCCGCCGCCAACACTAGCGGCGATTGTGCTGTTGAGTGAGCTGTTGGACGCGTGGTGCTGCAGGGTGAGCGCGGGGTTCTTTGGCATGAGTGGCGGTGGCTGTGCGGCAGACCCAGCGCCAGTCGACGAGACGCTGTCATGTCGGACGCGCGGCGGGATTGGCGGCGGCGCCGGCTGACTCATTGCTGAACAAGACCACAGCCCCTGTAGTTAGATGCCGAGCGGGAGGAAGACGAAGAAGAGGGGAAAGGAAGAGCGGGACGACGACGAGGAGGACAAAGAAGACCTATTGGCAAAAAAAAAAAAAAAAAAAAAAAGAATTGAAAAAAAAAAAGGTGAGCGAAAAACTTGGAGCAAAGTCTCAGAGCAACGAGAGAAAGGGGAAGGGGGGAAAGTGAGTGGGTTGGGAACTGGGTGTGATCTTAGGGTCAAGCCCCCGTCAGCCTCGCATCTCAACCTCACCAAGCTCAATCGCAATCTCAAAGGGAAAACGATTGTTTGATTTTTTTTTTTTTTTTTTTTTTGGTTTTAGGATTATTATGCTCCATTGCTGTTCGTGTGTGGATTCCTTGCTTTGCTTCCAATTCACAGCGGCCACATCCACCACATCCAACTCTGATGCGATTTGCTTGGGTTGGCGTGGATTGCGCGACCAACGATGAGTGCAGTGGAGTGGAGGTGTGTTGGAGAAAGCGAACAATACAACAGAAAGGGAAAAAAAAAAAAAAAAAAAAGCATCGCCGACAAGAGGAGCGAGACGCAGATTGGGATGGAACAGCCATCGACATCGATGGTGGGGCAGCAAGGAAGGAAGGGTGCTTTTGGAGGGAATATCGGGAGCGATGAGAAGATTGGGCAAATCCGAAGACGACGCGATGGTCAAAACTGCAGGAAGAGCGAACGAGAATGTAGGAGAAAGAAAGGGGAAAAAAAAAAAAAAAAAAAAAAAAAAAAAAAAAAAAAAAAAAAAGAGGAGGCTTTCTCAAAGCGACAGCTGTGACGAATGCTGAAATGCTGATGCCGCAGCTGAAGCGAGAGACAGACAGACAGACACACTGCACACACACGAATGCAAGCATGCACACTGAGCAGCACCGCCAACCACCCAACCCCTCCAGCGCAGCGGCAGACGAAAAACAAAGCGACCAAATCGAAAAAAAAAAAAAAAGATTATAAAAAGAAAAAAAAAAAAGCGCCCAAAAACTCGCCGAGGACCCCACTTTTGCGTCGACCGCCGTGCTGGGAATGCAGGGTGGCAGGCAGGCAGCAGCAGCACGATGGCCACAGCGTGTGGTTTTGTATCCGACGCGGCGTCAACAGGCAGCCCGCAATCAAAAACCAGAGCGAAATGGGAGGGAAAAGCAAAAACAAAAAGGAGCGCTCGTTCGTAGTTCACCGCAAGGATCAGAAAAAAAAAAAACTAAAAAAAAAAAAAAAAAAAAAATCCATACACACACAAAAAAAAAAAAAACGAGAAAAACGACTGGATTTTTGGTGTTTTTTGTATGTTTGTGTTTGTGTTTTGTTGGATGGAAGCGAACAGTAACTCGGACGATTGGAAGGGTGGAAAGTGAAGTGAGATGGTATTCTGTTTGAGGAAGCATGCGATGGGAAGAGCTCGAGAGAGCGAGATAGAGAACCGAACGCACAACAGAATCCTGAATTGCCCATTGAGAATCAGAACAAAAACAGTCTGCCATTCTCAGAATTGCCTAAAAGATCATCATGGATCAGTAGGAGGGAGGGAGGAGGAGGACAGGGCGATCCAAAGCAAGCAAAACTCGCTGAATTACGAAAAAACCTCAAAAAGGCCTCTGCCATTCTCAGACTCTGGTGCAAAATTCAACCATCAAAGCATGCTGCACTCATTTTGACTCTACATTCGCAAAACCAAATTCTTAGAATCTTCCATTCATTCCAAACCTCAGTCTGATTTTCTGCTGTGTTTGCTGTGTTTTCATTACCACAAAATGTCCCAGCAGCAGCAGCAGCAGCCACCTCGACCGACTGCCGCTCCTCCGCCTGCCCAGCAGCCAAAGTTCTATCTGGGCGGCCTCGCTTCGATGATGGCGGCGTGCTGCACTCATCCGCTCGAGCTGATCAAGGTTCCGTTCCAACTTGACTCCTCCACTTCGCCTCCACTACTCTACCATTGCCCACCCCCCTTTCTCACTTTTCAAGATTTGCAACTTGCCCCTTGATTCTGCTCGCAGGTCCGATTGCAGACGTTCCAGCAGAAGGGCAACACGCAGTTCCTGCCAACGCTCAAGCTGGTCGTCCGGGACAGCGGCGTTCTGGGATTGTACAACGGCCTCTCTGCATCGCTGCTGAGGCAGGCAACCTACTCGATGATGCGGTTTGGGTCGTACGATGTCATCAAGAAGCAACTCGAAGATCCATCTCGTCCAGGTTGGTTATGAAAGTGCTCGCAATCACTCCTCGAGCAAACCTCCGACGATACTCAACCATCAACCCAACTACACTCACTTTCAAAATGCATCACCGCTCTGATCTAGGCGCTCCACTGACCGTGGGCTACAAGATCACGGCCGGAATTCTGGCAGGTGCGATTGGTGGCTTGTGCGGAAACCCGGCAGATGTCGTCAACGTTCGAATGCAGGCGGACGGACGCCTGCCAGTCGAGCAACGAAGAAACTACCGCCATGCCTTTGACGGGCTTCGTCGTATGGTCACGGAAGAAGGCGCCGCGGCCTTGTTTAAGGGCGTGGTTCCCAATCTGCAGCGCGCCGTTCTGATGACTGCCGCGCAGCTGGCCACCTACGACCAGACCAAGCAGTTCCTCATGGAGCAGTACGGGTGTAAGGACACGGTCCTAACACACCTGTACGCCAGCATGGCCTCTGGGTTTGTGGCCACCGTCGTCACACAGCCAGTCGATGTCATCAAGACGCGCATCATGAATTCCAAAACGGGCGAGTTTGCAGGACCCATCGACTGCTTGCGGCGCACCCTTGCCGGCGAAGGAGCATCGGCGCTGTACAAGGGCTTCTGGCCGGCGTACGCTCGGCTCGGTCCGCACACCATTTTGACCTTTATTTTCCTCGAAAAGTTGAAGCGAGTGCTCTAGGCAATCAATACATTTATGCAAATAATCCAGTTAAACCTATTAATGAATGACAACACTACAGTATTTTTTCGTTCAAGCAAGCTGCAAAATAAAATCCAGCATAGACTACAACCGCTTTTGCTGTGCTCGGCGCTCGCGATACCACGTCCGAGCGGCGTCCACAAGCGCGCGATCCGCAATCAGCACGGATCCAGCAACAACGCAAAGACAAAAGGCCGCCGTCGCAATGTAAATTCCGTCGACAAACAGCCCGGGCTCGCCGGCCCAGCCTTGATCCAACACCCATCGCATGGCCGATACTGTGCTGCAAGACACTACCAACGCCATGATAACGAGGGGACGGGGCACGACATCGCTCTTATTCAACGTGGCTGGCCGAGCAACCATGTCGCCCCGCGCGGCCAGATCAACATCCGTGTTGGCATAGTATCGGCGGATGAAACTTGAGCTGGCGACCAACCGAATGCCCACGCTCATGCAGTTGGCAATCACAAAGCCGACAGCACCGACTTGGCTGGTGAGAAGGATTGAGCTGACGATGAAAAGCACGGATATGCCCACCAGAAGCCCAGACATGCGGTCGAGATGGCTCCGCGGCGCAACGGCCGAAACAAAACACTCGGAAATGCCATTCACGGCCAGCATGGCAACGTACACGCAAAAAACTTGCAGCAAAAGTGGTCCCGTCCCTGTCGCAAGATGCTGGCCGCCGTACCAGCTCAACAAGACGGAGGCTGAGGGTGGACCAAACGCCAAACCCAAGCCAGCGATCGAAAGCATGACTTTGAGCAGCAGACCAAACATTCGAGTCGCCGAGACAGCAAGAGCCACGCGAGACTCTGCTCCTCGCTCGTCTTCAAGAGCCTGCTTGAGATTGGTCGCGCGGGGCAAGCAGTTGGCAAAGTACGGGTAGAAACTGTCTTCGATTGGCAGGAAGAAAAACCGCACAATCAGCGAGCCGAGGTTGTTCACGACGTCAAACACGCCCTGCATCAAGAAAAAGTGTTTTTGTAGGAGATATGTGAGTCGTCAGGAAATAAGAAACGCCGAACGGCAACAGACTCAACGGACCTGCTCGGCAAATGAAATCACGTTAAACATGGTCATGACATAGCGCTCCCCTTCGCTGAGAAGCTGCTTCAAGATGGACTGCCGGAAGAAGGCCCAGGCGAGCGTCAGCGTTGCCTTGTCGAAACCGGTGCCGAACGGCAGCACGTCAGCAGCGCGGAGTTGCCCGGACGACCGGCGCGCGGCGTCGAAAATCAGCCACGACAACAAGACAAGCGCGTAGGCCATCTGGGCCACGCCGCATTCGGCAATGGTCAGCGAGTCGTCCCAGAGGAGCAGCGAAATGACCATCACGCAACGCGTCAGGGTGGCAAGACCCTCAGCGACCACCCTCGGGCCCGGCTGCAGGAATATTTGTGCACGCACAAACAAGGGCTCGCTTAGTAGCTCAACGACGGCTGCGATCGCGTACATGGCGACACCCTGATCGTAGCCAGAGATGGCTTCGGACGGATGCTCGAGCAACTTGCTCCACACAAGCGCGAGTGCGCCTGCCACGGCCACGCCAACCGGCATGCACAGCCAAGCCACTGCCTTAATCCGCAGCCAAGTGCGCGCGTTGGCTGCCGGGGAGAGCGGATCGTCGCGATCGCTGCTTGACGTTGCTGACGCGGCTGCGGACGACCGTGCAGCCAAGCAAGCGCGGCGGAAGGGCTCGCGTGCAATGAACAGGACGGTAGTATAGAGCAGCATTAGTCTGTGCGCATCATGGCAAGGGGGGCGGGGAGAGTCAGATGGAACCAAATTGCAAATCCCAATGCAAATCCCAATGCAAATCCCAATGCAAATCCCCAATGAAGAGTCGATACCGAACATTCACGACGCCAACAAGCTCTGGCGGTGCACGGCGAAGCACGATTGCATTCATGACGAAAGTGATGATTCGGAAGAGCAGCTGCAGACAGCAAGAAGGAACAGTCAGATTTGTGGGTGCAATTTCTGGGCAGTTTTGAGCAATTCTGAGCCAATCTCGATATTTCTCAGAATTCCAAGTATCAGAAACAAAACATGCCTGTGAAATGACAGTGTACGTGGCAGAGCGAGCTGCGGACTGCAGGAAGACCTGATCTGCGCCGGTCATTCTGGGGAATCGGATTCTCTAAGCGGGGGTAAAAGAAGAATGACTGAGCCGCTGAGATAAAGATGTTGTCGAAACTTGATCGAATGCAAAATGCGCGAGCAAATGCATATCTCGCCGCAGACTGAAGGAAGGAATGGTTCCGAGTTCGTTCAAAATCGAACAGCACAATCTTAAACATTGCCGGTTGCGCAGTACCGAGCCACGCTTCCGGCTTCTAGAAACAACTCTGAACGAGAGGTACAGTATCGATTAGAATGGAAGCATAAACTTTGAAATAAACGTATCACGAAATTCAACAAATACAAGATCGCAAACACACGTTCGCCTGTAGTTCCTCCGGAACACACACGGAAACTCGAAATAAATCATGGACCACACTTGAAAAAGCCTTGGTCATCCCGCCGAGGAGCTGGCTCGTGCGGCAGGTACATGCGTTGAGGATAGAATGTGTGGTCGAGCGAGTAGCGCAAAAAATTGCACACGTCCGACGTGTACAAGTCTGCCACGCGAGACATGCGATGCGCAAAGTAGGTCGGGTTGTGAAAGGTGCGGAAGACAGATCCGAACTGCGGATTGAACATGTCTTTGAGATGGGCCGAAACCTCGTTCTTTTCCGCTTGCCACGCACGGAGCAGGCTGTGCTTTTCGTGATGCTGGACGTGTTGTAGCTTTTTGATGAGACGCTGCAGATTGAGAAGCCACGTCAAGCTCTGTTTTTGTACCAAAGCAGTCAAATTGGACACCGGTAAGTGAGAAAATTGAAGCCTCGTCAACACAAGCTCCATCTCCCGCTCCCAAAACACAAACCTGGTGGTGCTCGGGTGAGTTCAAAATGGTAATCTCCTCATCGAGCTCGCGGATGATGGCACCGGTTCGCCAGCCATGCTTGCGGGAAGGGTCTTGCAAATCGCTCAGAACATGGTCGCCAACGTACATGACGCGACCAGGCGTCCAGCCGGTAATGCGCGCAAAGTCAAGGCTATTGCCGTGGCAGTACACGCCGCCTCTTGCAAAGCGCGACACCTTTGTCCATGTCATCGAGTTGAGAGTCGTGTCAAACTGTCGGAACGGGCGAGACTCGTTGAAAAACCGCGGCTTGAGCGCGTCCACAACAATCACATCGAAAAGATCTCGCCAATGGGGACCGACAATGTGAGACATGCCGACGTTGCTACGGGTGTGAGTGTGTGCCAAAAGGTCGAGAACAATGCAAGTGAGATGGGACTGGAAAGGCATTGCTCTGTCTCTGCTATTGTTTTTGTTTTGTTTTTTGCCACTTACACGAACGAAAAGGAACTGTTGGTCAGCAAAAACACCTTCTTGCCGTGCTGTCGCATGGTGGACAGGAGATTTTCGAGATTGGGAGAGGGATGAACGTAGTGGCCGACGTTGCGAATGACCTCGAGGTGCATTTGCCGTCGACTGTGGACCTCGCTCACGGCGTGCGCTACATCCATGTACAGGTACTCGGGATGGAAGGGCAGCTGGGTGTCGTGCATGAATTGGGTGAGGTTGGCCAGAAGACATGCTTCGGGGAGCGAGAACAGATCGGTCAGCTGCGGCATGAACGAGTGCATGTACTCGAGTGGAATGTGCACGCCATTGTAAATCCGCCGGGTCTCGTCGTCGTCGAGCGGTCGGTGTCCCGAATACACCGTGCCCAGCTGGACGTTCTGGAAGGCATCAATCTTCATCAACAGACCCTTCTTGACGTCGTAGTGCAGGCCCCGAATGGCAAAGTTCGGATCATACTGCAAGTTTGCGCACTCTGCCGGGTACTATCCGACAAACACAAAATGGGGCTTTGAGTTCGATGCAGGCAAGCCAGAATCTGTTGACCAGCTTTTTTGTGTTTGTTTTTTACCTTGTTGTTGTTGATCAGACTCTGAGCGGCCAACTGGTAAATCAGCGCCTGCAATTCGTTGTTGTACGACGCCAACGTGTACTGCTCCCAGACCAACAAGCAGGCCGGTTTAATTTGTGACATGTAATGAGTGGTTGTTTTAAACCGATTCTGAGAATTTGTCTGAGCCACAATCCCCCTTACATCGTAGTCGAATCCGAACGCGTCAATGTGGCTCAGGTCGACCTCGTTTGTCACAAACACGTCCGCGGGGTCTTCGCGGGGTCCCTGCAGCAGCGGACGATCGGCGACTGCGTGTTCATACATGCAATGGCAGAGTGCATCAGTGAGCAAAATGCTTGAGGAGCGTTTGGGCAGGTTAGCAGGTAAAGTGTATGGTTTACAGATCTGCTGCTGCATCTGTGCTTTGAGGAAGCGCAGTTCGTCCAGAGTGTAAGTGCGAATCCCGCTCGCTGTCATGGTGGTCCTTGCCGTCGTCGTCGTCGTCGTCGCTGTGGGGGTGGTGGTGTTGTGCTGCGATGCCATTGAGCGACTGGGCACTACTGCTGCCGATGCGTTGCAGCGATGCCCCTGCTGAGAGCGCCGTGATTTCAGAGCATGATAATGATGATGATGATGATGATATTGACGCTGACTGATACCAGCACTTGCTCGAATGGTGGTCGCGGTTTGAACTGGCAATCTCAATCTCAATCCGCTGCGCAACGCAACAAGCATTGTGTGTTTGACAGACTGTTGTTGTCAATGCAAAAAAATGCAACTAGAAAATACAAATACAAAGAATGAGTGAACTTTGCTTTTTTATGATACGATGTATTGAATGGAAGTTTGGGGCGTCGAGTGAAGCAAAAGCAACAGCCAAAAGTGGGGTGATTTTCAATGATCATCCATACGAGCGAGCGATCGCTGTGAGACTGTCAAATCAATCGATGCACATTCTCAAACACATACACACACACTCTCTCTCTCTCAATGACGCAAGCAAGTAACAAGCTCAGACTCTTCGAGCGAAGTCGAGGTCTTTTCATTGAAATCCCATTGGAAATCCCAATCCCCCCCCCACACACACTTTTCATCCACTCTCTTCCATCTCTTCCATGTCCTCTCTGTCTCTTCCATCTCTCGATCGCTGTCTCTTATATCTATCTCGTGGGCTTGACCTTTTTCCAATGGGCTCACTCATTTCCTCCCAATCCCTCACGTAGATGTCGCTGTCTGTGACCACTGCCGTTTCCGCCCTCCTCCTCCTCCTCGTGGTGGTGATGATGGCCACCGCGGGGGCTCGAGCGGACGATGTGCTGCCATTCCCATACAACCTGGGCACCACGTCCATCTACCACCCGTTCCAGGACTCGAGCAGCTACACTCTGCCGCCCGCGGGCAGCGTCCTCGTGCACTCTGCGCTGCTCGCCCGCCACGGATCCCGCTACCCGACCAACATTGCTGACTTTACAGACCTCGACAACGTGCTCTACCCGATCGAGGGCCAGATCACCAACCCCGCACTCCAGTGGCTCAAATCCTGGGAGCCGCCGTTCACGCTCACCGACGAGGGATTGCTCGTCCAGCGTGGCATGCAGGAGCACTATGACCTCGCCCAGCGCCTCTCGTTCGCATTCCCGTATGTGCCTCATTATGGTCATGGTCATCATTATCAATGACGAGATTTGGGCTGCGATTCGTGTGGATTTGGAGATTGGTTTCGGTTTGACATGTCGGTCCGAACCGCTCAGACTTGACTCTTCCACCAAAAGCAAAACAAAACAAAACAAAAAAAAACCCTCGCGCTTCAAATGATGACAACTCACTGTGAAAATGCATGTTTGCTTGTGTTGATCAAACTGCAGAGACACATTCCGTGCTCCTTACTCGCCAATCACCTACACGGTCCAAGCCACCCAGGTTTCGCGTGCCGCCCAAAGCGCTGCCAGCTTTACCTACGGTTTGGTAAGCAACGTCGCTGCAGTAGTAGCTCTTGACGGAGGATTTCTTTGTGACTCACCACTCAATGATGATGCAGTTTGAGGGAAACGGCCAGCTGGAACAAAAGTACTCTCCCGTCGCGATCTGGTCCAACTCGATGAATGCCGACTTTACGCTGCGCTTCTTTGACGCTTGCCCCGCCTACAATACCTACCTCGACAGCGACGCTTCGTCAGCCGAGAGCAACAAGTACATTTCTTCGGCAGCCATGAAGGCGGTTGCTGCACGCATTTCCGCGACACTGAACGTTACTTCCTTCAGTCTTACTCCAGTCCAGGTATGCATGGGTTGTGTGCGGGGCTTTGTGGGTTAGTCTCGCGCGACTTTGACAAATTGTTGATGCCTGACCTTCCAACCCCAAATCTGCCATCCCGCTTCAGGCACTGGAAATTTACAGCATGTGCCAGTACGAGGTCGCTGTTCTGAACATTACCAACCAGTTCTGCGCTCTGATCGACCCTTCGGACGTTGACACACTCAACTATGTCGACGATCTTCTCACCTACTGGCAAATTGTAAGTGAATTCCTTTGCACGATGCAGATACCTTTTTTCTTCCTGTCGTGCTGATGCCCTGTTATTCCCCCCCCCCTGTTGTTTTGTATCAGGGCTACGGCAACACAATCAACTACAACATTGCCTCCCCGTTGCTGCAAGACATTATCTCGACGCTGGTGTCCACCTCCCGCTCCCCCGGCCTTGCCGCGTCCCTTCGCTTTGCCCATGCTGAGACGGTGGCCCCGCTGATTGCGCTCTTGGGCCTGTACAAGGACGGCACGCCGCTTCGTGCGTCGGCTTCGCCTGCTGCAATTGCCAACCGCCTGTGGCGTGGTAGCTCCATCATTCCGTTCGCCGCCAACCTCCACTTTGCCATGTACTTTACTCCTGGCGAGCGCGCGACCAGCAACTACGTCGTCGGCCTCTTCCACAATGAAATGCAAGTCGCTTGGCCCGGCTGCGAGGCGGATGCACTCAACACCTTCTACTGCCCGCTCGACGTGATTCAGCGCATCTACGCCGACCAGCTCAGTGTCTCTTTTGATTCCACCTGCGGCATTGGTGGCTCCTCCCCTTCGAGCTCGACCAACAAGTGGGCCGTCGACCAACCCTACGGTGCAGTTATCGTGACACTTTTGTTCTTTGCGGGCGTTGTTGTTGCCCTCGTTGCTGTGCGAATCCGCGCAAACCGTCGCCGCTCGCATTATCAATCTCTGAACTAGAGCCAGCAATAGAAGTGCGAGCATTGCTTTTCTTTGTTAGACTGTCGGTGAACCTTATTAAATCCAACAACAGCACTTGTCATCGGCTTGCGCTCGAATACACAAAAACATAACAAAAAAATACATTCGCTTCCGACAATAACTTGAATGCTTTTTTTGGAACTATCGCCTCATGGCATGAACTGAGACTCTACAGACTCGGGCCAGGGATTGGCGCGCAGCTCTTGCAGCATCCACCATTTTGGTGTAAAGTAAGGCACAGTCAGGTGCTCGCTTTGACCCAGATTGTCAATGATGGCATCCTTGTAAATATCAGAGTTGGCAGGATAGTCGCAGAGCGTCGTCCAGGGACCCGTGCGCGCAATGTGGCGGAATGCGCGGAGGCGGACTTGAGCCAAGGGGCAGTCCATGGCGCAGTCGTGGATGCGGATGGGTTTGCGATAGGGTCGACAAAGCTTGTTACTGGCATCGCAGGGCCGCCACATGAAGGCGCGCACAAAAAACTCTCGCTCCACCCCTTTGCCAGCTCCATCTGCCCCGAACTTGGATTCCTCGGCGGACGTCAGGCGATCAAAGTCGAGGGTCACGCCCGGATCATCCTCCGCTTCGTCATTGTGTGGCGTGGTATCGGCCGCATCGGCGCCGTCATGGTACATTTTACGGGCGGCAAGCACTTGTGCGCGGCGCTCTTGCTCTTGGAGCATCTCAATCTCCCAGACGGCCTGCTCGTCTTCGTCGCGACGATACAGCTCAAAGAAGAGTGTCGCAGCCGGCAAGATGGCCGTTTTTGGAATACCCAGATCGGACAGCTCGAGGTGCAAAAGCTCGGCGATGGCGTACAAGTTTTCTCGGTGTCCGTGATAAATATACAGCCGCTTGGTACCCGAGCGGCGCTTCATGGCCGCTTTAAAGTTGCCCAGCAGGACGTTTGGGATTTCGCCTGCCCAGTAGGTGATTTTGCGCAGCTCGTTAAAGTAGCTGCGACACAACAGCGAAAGCAGGAGCAGAAAAGCAGGAGCAGAAGCCCAACAGAAAAGTGAACGGACACGAATGGCGCGAGTCACAAGCAAGACATCCAGACTTTTTTTTTGCTTACCGTATCCGAAGCATGCGATGCGCAAAACCATGAATGAGGGAAAGCTCGTCTTTGGTCATGTTGCCGGTCAGGGTCATGCCTTCCAAATCGTCAAAAATGAAGGCGTCGCTGATTTCCTTGATGGCTCGGACAAGGTGTATCCGATGCATGGTTTGGTTTTCAATTTGCATGAGATCCAGCTTGCAGACTCGACTCATGATGGCAACTTCGTTCGGATTGGCTTGAGCAAACGCCACGCTGCCATTGTCCTTGAACACGCGGTTGTCCTTCTTCCACTGCAGTTTGCAGCCAGCGTGCCTGACTTCCAGAAAGTGGTCGTGCTAATGTTGAAGGAAATGAGCAAGTTAGAGACCAGCAGGAAAATGGAAAGAGGCAACTGCAACGGTGGCATGAGCTTGAAAACTCGAAAGAGTCAACATACCTCGACGGGAGTGACATGCAATGGAACGGGTGAGCCGTAGTCTAGCGCGTCTGGGTACAGGCCGAGCACGGTGGCAAGCGCACTTTCCATGCAGCGCGAGCCGCCACTCGTTCGTACATGGACGTCTGTCAAAAAGTCGTGCGTGTCTCGGGTGATCTGGAGCTTGGACGCGCGTGTACGCTCGGACAGAGCCTGCCAGGTTGCCAGAACAAGCCCAGTGTCTTTGGTTTCGGGCGATTCAGACTCGCTGCAGTTGGAGCAGGGGAGCGATGGACTGACTCTGCCCGACTTTGGAATGAGTGGCGGGAGATCGTCGCTCTCGAGCATTGGCACGATCGCCTTGACCTTTTTGACCAACGGCTGGCGGATGCTTTGTAGATTTGGCTCCTCCGCCATCCCGTTGTACTCGTGGTGATCATCGCCATCGTGCAAGGCACCGCTCGATTCGTCTTCACGGATGTCATCTCCAGTCACCGGCATTGCAATCGTCGTCGTCGTCGTCGTCGTCGCTGCAGCATCGCCTGCTCGAACGCACGTCGAATTCGCCGGAACAGCAAACTTGTCGCACAGAAACCCGGATTCGAGCATGTAGACTTGGCGAATGTGCGCGCCCAGCTGCTGGAGCTGAAGCAACCCACGCCGCGTGAGTGCTGCTGGGGGCACGCCGTACTGCTTAATGTTGATCTTCTCGGGTGGGCACAGGTACTTGACAAAGACGTTCGGCGCCCGGTTGCCGTGGCGGGAGAGCACCTGGACTTGGACGAGCTCGGCCGCGTCGGCAACGCCAATCCACCCGCCGGCAGTCCGCCACCGAGATTGTCGATGAGCTGCAGTGCTGGCAGTGTGTCGGATGAGCGCAGTAGCAGCAGCAGTAGCAGCGTCCTGGATCGACGTGGTGCTGATGGACGATGAATCTCCTCCGACCCAATCTCGAATGCACCTTGCAGCAGCAGTGGGAGTGCATGGACGCAGCGATCGCGCCGTGTATGTGTCGCAGTGCTCGAGTGTGGCTGCTGGTGGAGGAGAGGATGGCAGGCTGCTGCCCAGCACAAAGAAGACCAGCACCACGCACGCACTGCGAACGGCAATCTTCATTGGTTCAACGCGGCGCACAGCCAAAGTCCGAACGGAAAGGGGCAGAGAAGGAGAGAATGAGACTGGACTATCATATCAGTGAGAATCACATAAGAACAAGAACTACGAAACCACTGGGTGGAGAAGAGATTTGTTGTTACAAAAAGCAAGTACAAAAAAACAAAAAAAAAAAAAACGAGAACAAAGATTTGACAGCGCTAACTCAATGTACAGACAAGTCAGACAATCAGAAGATGGCCGACGTGTGTTCGATTTCACTTTTCACAATGGGAGGGAAGTGCCTTTTCACTCGACTCGACAACTTCGGATGGCAGCGACAAACGCGTCGATCAGCGTTGGCCACGCCTCAGACTCGTCAAACCCGGTGCAGTCCGAGTCGGTCGTACTGAGGGCAAAATCCAGAAACTGGGCCCAGCAGTCTTTCGAAATGCCTCGGACGGGTGGTGTGCGCACCGGAGCAGGGTCTGGATGCTTGAAGGACGACGCTGCTGCATCGGGATTGTCCTCGGTGACAGTGTCGGTCTCGGAAACGCAGCCAGAAGTGTCTCCTGCCAGCATGGAACTGGAATCCGACGACTCATCGGAGGAACCAGTGACTCTGCGCTCCAGAGCGGCCATGGCATCGGAGCTGCTGTGCAAGTCAAAGCCCATCAGATATGCAATCCACCGCGGAAATACGGCCATCGACTCGCGCTTGCCCGTGAAAACGAGCCACCACAGCGCGAGGGCAACGTTGATATCAAGTGTGCGGGCCCCGCGCTCCGAGTCCACGCCAAAGTTGAACGTAAACATGTAGAGGCTGCGGAAGGCAGAGCTGTGAACGTCGGCCGTCTCGTCCACGAGCGTTGGGAGCAAGGTTTGGAGAGTCGCAATCGTTTCAACACCAAGCGCAGACAGACCGTCGACAAACTGCGAGCGGGTGATGCGCGATAGGGTGGTGGCCCGGAGCTTCCACGCGAGCCAAATCACGCGAAAATCCGTCGGGGATAGACCCAAATCACTGCAAAGCAGCTCTGCGCCTGCATCGGTGATGAGAGTCGGATTGTCGGGATCGGAATAGCTCTCAAACAGCTTGCCAAGCTTGGAGGATGCGGACAGTGTCGATGTGGAGACTGAGGATGCCTGCGAGGCGAGTGACAGCGACGAGCCACTCGACGACAAGCTCGACAAGGATGTGATGCTTGCCTTGCGCCGAGTGAGTCGGGCGAAAAACCCGAGCGGAGCTGGAGGAAATGGTGTGGCTACCTTTGCAACTGTCTGCGACTGGCGGTCTGACGGATTTGCGCATCTACTTGTTCCAGGAACGTCGTCGGAGCCTTCCCGCAGCGTGTCTGAGAAGTCCAGTTTTGAACCAGTTTTGGCGGTTGCAAGCTGCTTGACACTCCCGCGCGCGTGCTTGCTCATTCGCCGGAGCGTCCGCTTCAGGATGCTTGGACGTGAGCCGTGTGGCAGTGCATCTGCAGCCTCGCACGGCGACGACCCCGGTGCCTCGGCAGCAGCGACGGTCTTGATTGGCGCAGTGCCAAAAACCTCAGCCGCGCCGCCGCGAGAATGCCACTCTACATGCGCTGGGTCTGCGCAGCCCTCGCAGAAGCGCGCATGTTCGACACTCGTGTCCAACGCACTGTTTCCCGCAGCGGAAGGTCGGTGGTGGTGGTGCATCTGGTGAAGATGATGACCTGCACCTTGCGGCAAGACAAAAATAGCTTGGCCGCCGCACTCGTGGCTGGCAAGGACGGCCTGCCCGCAATGCGCCACGGAACCCGCCGGATCTTGGATGGCCAGGTGAGAGGTGCACACGGCAACCAGTGTATGCGAATGGCAGTGGCCGAGCGACGCGCAGGACGAAGCTACAGCCGCGGAAGGAGTGGTCGTGGTGCTGAACGTCACCGCCGAGCAAACTCCGATCGCGCCGTGCTCGACACTGCCGCCGCCGAGTGGCTTCCCGGGCAGCTCACACGGGTCGTGGGGTGTGCCTGCGCCAGTCCCGGGCAGCGGCCGCGCGTCCGACCCGGCCGTTGTCTGCTTGAGCCGCTTTAGCAGTGACGGCATCAAAACAACAAAACCCAAAAGTAACGCAAATAAATCCAAAAAAAAAAAAAAAAAAAAACTGAAACGAGGTTATTTTAAGCAGATTTGACGACCTGAACGCAGTCAGAATTCAGAGTGTTTTGTTTTTTGCTTTTTTTGAAATCAACACTATTTTTTGATTGTTTCGAATCCGTTCTAACAAAAAAAAACCAAAAACACTCGAAACAAAAGGTTTTTTTTTTTTTCAAACTGCAGCCACAAATTGAAACAAACCAAACGAAAAGGCTTAGTAATCGTAGTGAACGGCAAGGTGGGCATGTCGGCGCTCCGCGGGGGCACCGAGGAAGGTGCGAACAGAAGCGGCAACCTGGTCGCCAGTGAAGCCAAACTTGGCAAAGACGTCCTTGACGGGGCCGCTGGCGCCGAACGAGCGCATGCCGATGGAGAAGTGCGAGTAGCGAGTCCAGCCGGTGACGCCGGAGGCCTCGACGGACACGACGGTGACACCGGGGGTGAGAACCTCGCAGCGGTAGGCAGCGGGCTGTTGATCAAACAGGTCGAGGGAAGGCGCCGAGACGATGCGGGCCTTGATGCCCTCGTTGGCCAGAGTACGGGCAGCCTCAACCGCGATCGAGACCTCAGAGCCGGTGGCGATGAGAATCACGTCGTGGTTGGCCTGGTCTTGGAGGACGTAGGCGCCAAGGGCAACCTTCTCTGCGCTCGAGCCCTCGAGGTGGGGCACGGCGTGGCGAGTAAAGCAGAGAACAGCCGGGCCGTGCTTGCGCTCGATGGCAACAACGTAAGAGCCGACCGTCTCGTTACCGTCGGCGGGGCGGAGGGTGACCATGTCGGGGCAGGCGCGTGACAGAGGCAGCATCTCGATGGGCTGGTGAGTGGGACCATCCTCGCCGAGGCCGATCGAGTCGTGGGTCATGACGTAGAGCACGCGGAAGTGCGAGAGGGCCGAGAGGCGGGCCGCGGGCCAGCAGTAGCTCAAAAAGTTAAAGAAGGTGGCCACGTAAGGAATGTACATGCCGTAAGCAGCAATGCCGTTGCCGATGGCGCCCATGGCATGCTCGCGAACGCCAAAGCGAATGTAGCGGCCTTCGGGGGTGGCCTTTTGGAAGTCGTGCGAGCACTTGAGCTCGGTGAGGTTGGAAGGGGCAAGATCGGCCGAGCCACCGACAATCTCGGGGAGGTTGTTGGCGAGGACGTTGAGCACGTCGCTGTGCAGCTGGCGGGTGGCGACTGCCTTGTCCTTGGGGGTGAAGGTGGGGAGACCCTTCTTCCAGTCGGCGGGGAGCTCGTTGTTGGCACGGCGCTCAAACTCGGCGGCGAGGGCGGGGTGGGCGGCGCGGTAGGCGTCAAACTGGGCGCGCCAGTCAGCCTCGAGCTGCTGGCCCTGAGCAGCGATCTGGCCGTAGTGAGCGGCAACCTCGGCGGGGACGACAAAGGACTGGGCGGGGTCAAAGCCGAGACGGGTCTTGGCGGCAGCGAGGTCCTTGTCGCCGAGAGGGGCGCCGTGGACCTTCTCAGTGCCCTCCTTCTCACTGCCGTAGCCGATGGTGGTGCGGGCGAGGATGAGCGAGGGGCGGTCGGTGACCTTCTTGGCCGACTCGATGGCAGCACGGAGGGCGACAATGTCGTCATCGGCGTCGCTGACGTGGATGGTGTGCCAGCCGTATGCCTCAAAGCGCTTGGCAACGTCTTCGGTGAAGGCGAGCTCGGTCTCACCGTCGATCGAGATCTTGTTGTCGTCGTAGATGGCAATGAGGTTGCCAAGGCCAAGGTGGCCGGCGAGCGAGGCAGCCTCGCCCGAGATGCCCTCCATGTGGCAGCCGTCGCCGAGGATGACGTAGGTGTGGTTGTTGATCAGCTCAAAGCCGGGGCGGTTGAACTCGGCAGCGAGGTGGGTCTGGGCGATGGCAAGGCCAACAGCGTTGGCAATGCCCTGGCCGAGGGGGCCAGTGGTGACTTCGACACCAGGAGTGTGAGTGTTTTCGGGGTGGCCGGGGGTGCTGCGAGAAGAAGAAGAGGAAGAAGAAGAAGAAGAAGGATCGGGTGGAGGCAAAAGAGTCAGATGGCAGCACAACACTTTTTGAAACAAAACGGCTGAAAATGCCAGAAAAAAGCACTCACATTGAGCCGATCTGACGGAAGTGCTTGAGATCCTCGAGGGTGACCTGGTAGCCGGCGAGGTGGAGCATGGAGTATTGGAGAGCGCATGCATGGCCGTTGGAGAGGACAAAGCGATCGCGGTTGATCCAGGCAGGGTTGGTGGGGTTGTAGCGCATAAACTCGGCCCAGAGGAGGTGAGCGGTGGGGGCAAGACCCATGGGGGCGCCAGGGTGGCCCGAGTTGGCACGCTGCACGGTATCAGCGGCAAGGGTGCGGATTGTGTTGATGCAGCGCCACTCGAGGTCGCTGCCACTGTGATGCAAAGTGAGTGTCGGTGAGTGTTTTGGTTCCTATCGCCTCCTCCAAATCCACCAACAACGCTCAAGATGGATGCATGCGTCGAGTAGAGTTGCCCTACGAGCGAGTGCGTGCGCGCTTGGCGACGTGCGTATCAGTGTGCTCGATCGAGTGCGACATTGGCGATTTGTTTGCTGTTCTGTTTACTGCTGTTGCGTCTGTGGCACACAAGTCAAGCAAAGTAAAGCAACGTGAGATCGAACGTCGCAGCGTTGAGTTTGAATGAGTGCAGCGGACCAATGATAGAAAACGCAGCAACGGGTTGTTGTTTGAGATACTTTGGAAAAAGTGGAGTGATTTGAAAAAAAAAAAACAAGAACGAAGGAAAAACTCAACAAAACGAAAACGCAATGTCAAGTCAAGGAAAGCAAAGTCAAAGAGTCAAAGAGTCAAGAGTCAAAGAGAGTGAGAAACCGTTTGAGAGTAAGATTGAGAAGAGTGAAGCGAGTGTGACAGAGTCAAGTGAGGTAAAGCGAGGGAAAGCGACGAACTGTGGATGACGAATTGGATGGCGATCAACAATGATGCGATCACGGATGATGATGGGGAAAGTGTGCAGCAGCACATCTGTTTCTTCCCCCCTGGAAGTCAGCACTATATCCACGAGAGGAACAGATGGTGGGGATTGAGTGTGACGAAGTGTGGACTCGACGCGTGATGTGGAAGAGAGCGAGAGAGAGAGAGAGCGAGAGCGAGATCAATGGTGAATCAATAGTGAAGCTTCAACCCGTCGGATGCGACAAGAACAAAAGTGTGATCAGAATGAGTGAGTGAGAGAGGAACAGAACGAGAGAGAGAGAGAGAGAGAGAGAGAGAGAGAGCCAGCCACCCAATCTGCGTCCCCCCAACCTCAATGCCCCACAGTCACAGAGCAAGCGAGTCGAAAACGAAAAGAGCGGCGAGATCTCGAAATCGTGATCAGCATCGCTCGTCCCACTTCCCACCGCCGACGCTGTGCGTTCTTGCAGCAGGAGACGCGGATCTTCGAGACCACGCAATGCGGATCTGGAGCACAACGCCAAGCCAGCAAATGAAGAAGAAGAAGGAAGAAGAGGAAGGAGAGGTCCACAGCGCCATTTCCCACGTGCGCTCCCTTCTCACTTCATTCCCCTTCATCGCTCGTCACTCATCGCTCAATCCAGTCCCACTCGCGACCCGCTGCATAAAACACTGCTTTGATCTTAATCGCTTGTTGTCATTTGTGCGAGTGGAAAACGCACAAAAGCGAAAAGCGAAACAAATAAAAACAAAACGAATAGCGAAATTGGGACAGTTGTCAAACCTGGACACAAAAGAGAGACTGGCACTCATTCTCAGAGCGCAAAATAAGTGCAAAATGGGATTGAGCAGAGATGTGCACTGCAATCATCTCAAGCGCGAGGGAAAGCCTTGTGAATGGGGATTGTGGCATTTCGAGGTTCGGCAAAGTGCGGGAGACAAAAAAAAGGGGGGGTGACTTTGCACTCGTCGGTGATTGACTCGGACGGATGCAATGGCCGAGGCAGTTCCTGGATTATCTAGTAAATATGATAGTTGCTACTTATTTGTGCAGGAGAGCGAGTGGAAGTCAAAGGAACATTGACCGATTGGTCTGGTCCTTGAGCGTTGGATTCGCAGCACAATCTTCCCGGCACAGAATGGCGCTGGGTGTTTCCCGCCGTGATGACAATCAAAACAAACTGTCTTGTAATTGTATCACTGGTCGACTCTGGTGTTGGGTCAGAATTTGAGCTGGCGACCGGTACTGGCATGTCAATGCATGATTGTTCAGTTGCTGGTCTGAAATTTTGCAAAATTTGCCATCGGTACCAGCCGAAAATCAGCAAATCCCCTTTTCAGCACTTTTATGCAACGCAACTGACAAACACGAACATCTGCACCCCTTATTCAAGGCGAGTCGGTGGAAAGTCGCACTCAGGACGGGACTAGAAACATGTTGGTTTGCGGCCTTTGGATTCGCTTGATCCCACAACTCCAAGCCCCGGGCACATGGACAAACGTGATATCGCCACTCAGTCATGGTACCATCACACATACACATACACACTTGCCCGGACGCGACCACACCAAATCTTTTCGAATTCCGAAGATCAGCGAATCAACATGCTGCCTCGATCTTTACTGCACCCATGTACTATGGTCGGAATAGACCTCTCCAAAGGTTGAGCGGGGTGCTAACCATGCATACTTTATTGACAGACATTCAGCAGTTAGTTGGCCGGGCAAACCAAGGACACTCGCAAACGGCGTTCATCGAAAATCGAGTTCCATGCTTCAGCCAAGAGCCGCGTCTTTACAGCAGATGAGCATCCAGATGGTTGAGGTGCTGGGGCAGTCGATGTTGCTGTAGGTGCAGACGTTGCCGGTGCGGTGGGACACGGAAGGTTTGCAGGATCCAGCGTAAGTGTGTCGGTATAACCAGCAGGGCGAGCTTCCAGGTTGAAAACGGCAACGAGCCGCAGTTGAGGTTCGCTGGACGGCACATCTTCGGTGCGAGTGGCTGGCTTGGAAGCATCATCCGACCATCTCGCAAACTTGTACACTTGGCCAGCGCCTGGACTGGACGGTTGGTCTTGGTTGTCTGGAGCGCTGATGCTCGTCGGTGCATTGCGCATGAGCTGCTTGCGACAGGGAGTGATGCAGACGGTCGATCCAACAATCATCTTGAGGCCTGAGGGAACGGAATCCACCTCCAAAAATCCAGTCAACGGCAGATACTCGAGCTGCTGTGCGACGGTCAAGGGAGTCGAGCCACCTTGCGGAATGGAGGCTGCCAGCTGGAAGGTCAACCAAGCAGGGTACTCGTGCGCAGGTGCAGACACTGTCCCACTTGTCACGCCGGGCAAGCTGACGTACGGGTGCGTGTGGCAGTTGACTGGACTGGGTGCGCGCGTGCCGTCGGGCAAGCATTCGCCGGGGATGCTGGGGCAGTGCTGGATCGTGACAGTCCAGGTGAGCTGCAAAGCTGGCACGACCTCGCCTCGAATGGTTTCGGTGACGCGGCCGCTGAAGGGGATGTTGGTTCCAGGCACAAAGAGCGCCGTCATGGCATTCGGGGCATCAATCGTCACTTGGTAGTTCACTCCAGCCGAAATGGACAGACCGTAAATGTTGGTGAGACCCTGAGGATCCGTGACACGAACGCGAGTAATGTACGAGCCGGCTGTGCTGAAAGTTCGGGTGCGAGTCGAGGCGTGGCCGTTGGCATCCTGGAATCCTTGCCCATAATCCCAATCGTACACGAGAGCATCGCCGTCAGGGTCGGAGCTGCTTTGTGCATCGAATGTTACTACAAATGGAACAGTGGCGGAGGTGGTGCCAGGAGACGCCGTCAGCCTTGCGATCGGAGGCTGGTTTGCTCCGTTGCTGAAGGACACCCGCTTAATGTACCCGCCAAAGATCGAGATCCAGTAGAGCGCACCGTCTGGACCAAAGACAAGATCGCACACACCGCTGGCGGATGAGCGGAAGGGCTCAATGCTCGTAGCGCTCGGCTTTCCGTCCGCGCCAGCTTTGAAGGTGAAGATGACTGTCGTGAAAAGCGCAAAAGTGGATGCCAAAACGAGGTCAGTGTGGACGCGAGCAGCATAGCACACCTCATCGCAATGCTTGCCTTCGCGAGAAAAATCAGCCACAAACAAGGCGCCGTTAAACCGGGTCGGAAACTTGGAGCCGCGGTTGACGGCAACGCCAGTGACGGAGCTGCCCAGCGTGGGATCAGTCGGCACTCCGGCAAAGTTGCGGTCATTGTGCTTGTAGCTGTAGAATGGTTTGTGGTGCGCAGCTGCTCCAGCATTGTACAAGGCGGTGCAGAGCTGTCCTCTGAGGGCTTGATAGCTCGGTTGGACGTTGCTGCCTTCGTAGCACCTGATGCATGCAGCCACCAGTTAGGTCTGTACCGAGACACCTCTGCTAACTGCACACGAAGCGCAAGCACACTTACGGCCACCCGAGGTTTGGGACTTTGGCATCGAGCGTTCCGGCGCGGATGACGTTCACCTCTGCACGACCATGTGAACATTGAACTCGATTAGAGTCAAGTTGATACACCAAAGACGTTCTCGTCATCAGTGCGTACCTTCCCAATCGGCCCAGCCAACGTCGCCAATCCAGATGTCGTTGGACACCTTGTCAATGGTTGCGCGAAAGCCGTTGCGGATGCCAATGGCAGCAATGCGAGGGTCGTACCCTGCCATGTTTCGGGCTGGGTTTTGTGGCCACGCGGCACCCGTCATTGGATCGAGACGCAACAGGTGACCAGTGAGAATGCTGGTGATTTGCGACTTGAATGCGCCGCCATACTGCGTTCCAGCGGGAAGGCGAGACTGGCAAGTGTCGCGCTCGTTCTGACCGTAATCGACAAAGTCAAAATGGGCAGAGTCGCCGACCAGCACATGCAGCGCACCCTCAGGGCCAAAGAACATGTCGCCAGTGTGATGAGAAGGGCTGGTCGAGCACCAATCGTTAATCAGATTGACTTCTTCGACCAGTTCCGGCACAGACAGGTCAAACTTGAGTCGTGCCAGCACAGCACTGGATTGCTCGAACGGCGATTCGATTCGAGGAGCACGGTGCAATGAATGTGAGATTCAAGTTCAACAAATGAAGCGCAGTGAGCAAAATATCGCGGCGGGAGTTGTCACGGGAAACTCTGCAATGTTGGTTACCTGCCCTCGCAAAGCACGTCGTAGTCGCACTGGTCGGAATAGAGGGGCGGAGGGCTCCCGAGTTTGTTGTCAGCAGAGTAGAGCACGTACAGGTAGGGCTGCGCAGGCCACGCAGGATGATGCACAATGCTTTGCAATCCACGATCCCTAAAGAGAGTCGATGTCATGTGATGTATCCAATATCGAGTTAATGACATGAGTCACCGATGCATAGCAAGATGAACGCCCGAGCCAGATTCCATCGGTGACAAGCTGGGTGGATTTGGAACCCGCTGCGTACTTTGCGAGGATTGTTGGTTTTGTTTTTTTGGGCACTTCAGTCACCCACTTCTTCCTGCTTTGTTGGCGCCCCCACCCAATCACACTCTTCTTGGCAGTGTGTCAAGTGGTCGACATCTCCAGCGATAGATGTCCATCCGGTCACCCCACCGGGTGTTTGCCTCCTCACGAGACCATGGAAAATTAGGATGTGGACAGCCAAGTTCCTCACTCCTCCCACGCTTCCTAGCATTCTCATTCCCTGCGGCAGCACAAGGCGACACGATGCAGCATGCAGCAACAGTGGCAACACACAGCACCAAAGACAACTTACCACCAATTGAAGACTTTGGTGCGCAGGTCTGCAATCACCAAACCGGGGTTGGAAGGATCCGTGATGGCGGTCGGCCAGTACCGGATTCTGCCACCCTTTTCGGCGAGCCAGACAGATCCATCCGGCGCAAAGACCAGCTTGACAGGCTCCGTGATATCCTGGACATAGGTCGCCTCTTGAAAACCGTCCTCAGGAATGACTTGAGCTGTCACGGCGACGACAAGGCAAAGCCCCAACGCGCAGAGTAGAACAAGCCGTGCGTTCATTCAGAGAGTACAAAACGAGTAAAAGAAACAAGAATGAAAGCAGCCAAAAACGGTGCTGTCAAAGTTGTCATACAGTTGAAGAATCCAACTCGATTGGATCCGACGTGTTGAAGTCGCCATTTCGGACATGCTTCGAGTAGAGGAGTTCTGCCTGGACAAACCGAGTTCTCCGTACGTAGAGCACAACATAAGCTGGACTTTTCTGGTCTCGTTCAAGCTCAGTCTAGTCATTCCCCCCCCCCCCAACAATGCCAAACGCGTTCTTGGAGGCCGTTCGCCGCGCTCGCTCGCTGGCCAACAAGACTGCGCTCGTGAGTCGCAAACCCCCTCTCCTTGCCAACCCAACTCACACGCCTTTGCCCCCCGTTATCAGTGCATCGTCAACACCGAAGCATGGCTTTGGCTAGCGATGGCGGCTTCGCAACAGGAGAGCGGGACGAAGCGAGAGTGAGAGCGAGATTGAGAGAGATCTCCGATTCGGAACCTGCGCCTACCCGACCCGCTCAACCAACCTCCGTGCAGTTGCACGTCAATCTGCATGTCGAATCATCTGCAATGCCAATGCCAATGAGTTTGCGCTCACTATTTTTTGATGCATCCGTGGGTACTTGTTTCTCAATGGGCTGCTCGTTCAGATTATCGGCGATGAGAGCGTCACTTACGCGCAGCTGTACCGCCGCATCCGAGCCGTCGTTGCGCTGCTTCGCTCGAGCGGGATCAAGCCAGGCGACCGCGTTCTCGCGACGGTTGCGCTGTCGTTCGACTTTTACGCAGTCGCGCTGGCGTGCATGTGCCACGGCGCCATCCTCGTTGTCATTGACCCAGAAATCGGGCTCAAGCGCGTCAATCACTGCATTGCGGCCGTCCAGCCAGCGGCGTGGATTCGAATGAAGGGATCGTACTGGTACCTCAGAGTGCTCCTCCCGGCAATCAACTCGATTCCAAGGCACCTCGTTCTGTCAGAGAGCTACTTGCAGGCCGGTGGCGTCCCGACGACCAGCAGCGCTGCTCTGCTGGCAGACGGCGCAGTCAAGGAGTCGGAGGATTCGAACAAGCGCTCTTCCGGCCGCGCGAATGCCGATGCGGCCAAGCGTTCGAACAGCGCAGATGCAGACAACGATCTGGCAACCACTCCCGCGACGCCAGGCCGCGTTCTGCGCAGCACAGCCTCAGGGCGCTCCAAGGCTCAGTCTGCAGCCCAAGCTCAGACACCTCAAGCAGCAGTGCCGTCCTCCTCCTCCTCCTCCTCCTCCTCCTCCTCCTCCTCCGATATTGGATGGGAAGGAATCACCGAGTCCGACGTCTGCTCGGATGTCGAGTACGCGCTCGTCACCTTCACAACGGGCAGCACGGGCAATCCCAAGCCGCTCTTCCGCCGCCACTCATTCCTGTCGCTCCAGTCCAAAGCCATCAGCGAGTGCTACGATAAGTGGATGAAGTCGGGCTCGGAGGTTCGCAGCGAGCAGGACGAGATTGTCTTCACCAACCTCAACATCTTTGCCTTGCATTTTCTGCTGACGGGCGGCACCTGTCTGCTTCAGCCCACCGTGAGCCCCACCAGCCCTGCCGTGTCGGTCGGTCGCATGGCGTTGCATCGCTGCACGCTGGCTGCTGGATCTCCAGCCGTCATGGAGGCGCTGGCGCGATTCTGCGTCAAATCCAACGTCAAGCTGCCCGTGCGCAAGATTGTCGTCGGCGGCGCCCCCGTCTATCGCGAGACGCTTGATGTTTTGATGCAGGTATGGAAGGCTTAGATGCCTGTTGATTGCAGGAGATGCAGTGTTTTCGGTGTGTTTTTTGTTCCACCTTTGTCGCTCATTTGACAACTTGGCGGATTGCAGGCTGTGCCCAGTCGACAAGTCATTGTCGTCTACGGCAGTACAGAGGCCGAGCCCATTTCGCTTGCGCATGCCGCGCTCAAGCAGATTGTCGAGACGCCCAACGCAATCGGCCATTGCGTCGGTTTGCCGTTTGTTCCGTGAGTACTCGAAACGTGAAAGTTGACTTTCCCAACCAGCCCTCGTCCAAAGGCTAACAGTAGTTATGGTGATGTTCCAGAAATGGAGTGGCCGTCATTCGCTCTTCCGACGGCGATCTACACACCGAGACCTTGGCTTCGCTGCGTCTCAAGACTGGTGAAATTGGCGAGATTGTCGTGGCTGGCTGGCAGGTATGTTTTGCTCTTGGCTGCCCTTTCCTAACGGCCTGGCGTTGAAAGCGCATTTATCTCAATTTGACTTGAACTCTTGCTCTGGAGCATAGGTCAACACCGAAGAAGTCACCGATGCTCGTCTGGTGTACGACGGCTCGCAAAAGTGGCTGCGCACGGGCGACGCTGGTTACCTCGACCGCGATGGCAATGTGAGTCTTCCCGTTGCTGGAGAGCGGCGGCTTGCATCATTGGCGTCCAACTTGCTGACCTTTTCTTTGTGTTTGTTTGGTTTTTCTCTCCTCAGCTGTGGCTGACAGGCCGACTGTCTTGGCGCGTTGTTCGTGGCGATAAGACCTATTGGTCTATCGATGTGGAGCAAAGCATTCTGCAACGATTTTCTCCAGTCGTGACGTTCGCCGCCTATCTCACTCACAAAAACAAGTACGATCCGAGTTGATGCTGGTTGCATATCGGCTAGTTTGTGCTCACTGGTCGATTGTTTTTGCTTGAATGCCACAACCCAGAGCCCACCTCTTTGTCGAAGTCCCGCAAGGAATCGATAAGGCCACCTCCAACGGCATTTATCGATACATTGTCGATTCTGGTGAGCGTTTTGCCGCTTGTTTTTTCCGTGCTCGTGGACAAACTTCCGAATCTGACTTTTGTTCTATTTGTTCTTTGATCTCTGTACGCTAGGCATCCCGGTTGATCGGTTTGTCATCAAGCGCAAGATTCAGCGCGACAAGCGCCATGCGTCGAAGGCCGACACGGCTGCGCTCTTCCAATCCCAGCTACGAACCAACCAGCTTCGCATTTTGCTCGCGTTGGCCATCTCTGTTTTCATTTATTGGTATCTGTTGCAAGTATGGGTGTAGTTGATTTCCTGTCTCAGTACAATGCAAGTGCTTCGGTTGTTTTGAATCATTCTTTTGTTGCTTGTGGGCGATTATTCACCATGTTTTTGCGAGTGATGTACAATAGCGGTTTGTTCGTGTTCCGATTTGCAACTGCGGTTCTGATATGCAACTGCGGTTTGCTCGTTTTGCTGGTTGCGCAGTCTCTTTTTAATCGTTAAATTTTCTTGGTTGCTTTAGTTTCGCTTTTCCATACCTTTTTTTTTTTTTTTTTTTTCGTATCCAATTGCAACAATGATGCATCGGTACAAACACTTGTTTGCGGTCATCCTGCTGGTTGCCGTGCTGTCGATTCCCGCGGCGCATTCTGCATGCTTCCCGGCTTCCGAGCGACGTAAGAATCTACACAATGCCACCCGCCATTCCGCGTTGCCAGGGTGCGTCATGGATGAGCTGAAGCGGCGGAGGCGAGAGAATGAATCAACGCTGCTTCGACCCGTTCGTTCCCATCGACCACTCCTACCACTTCACCCCCTCCCTTCTTCCACCCAGCAACTTTTGTCTCTCACACACAAGCCCCACACGCACCCACACATACCCGGCATGAGCACACTTCCTTTGCCTTCTCCACTGTCAAAAAAACACCGCTTGAAACGCCTTTTTTTCTCTGCCCAATTCGACATTCGCAGACCGGATAAACACAAGCGAAGTGAAACTTGTTGTTTCTGAGTCACGTTCGTCTGGCGTTTTGTCGCCTGGGACGCGCTGCCGTTCTCCGCCATCGCACAGCCCAGCATGGCGTTCGACTACCTCCGTTTTATTGTTGTTGTGGCTTGTTGGCAAGCACCACACTGTGAAAGGCGGATGAGATGATTACACTCATGCGCTCGAGTGTATTTTTGGCATTGGCATTTTGTTTTGCGTCCGCTTTTTTTTTAATCTGGATTTTGTTTTTATTTCATTTTGCGGTGTTTATTTAAGCAGCGGGGAGGGCTGTTGATTGCCAGGATACGGCGGATTTTGCATGGAGATGCGGTTGGCAGAACAGTTTGATAGACTTGACTTTGGGGAGGAGGAGGGACGGAGGAAGGAGGACGGAAATGGCGGGTTGCGCGGGTGGAAGAGAGAGGGTGGTGGGAGGGGAGTGTTCCAACTGCCGTTCGCCGAAACGCGAATAGCGCACCGCACACACTTACAGTCGAGTCGGAACCAAATCAAGCGGGGGGGGGGGGAACACTACTGTGGTGAGCTTGAAGTACATTCGGAGACAAAGACAGAGACAGAGACAGAGAGCGCTTAGGAAATAAGCCGGGGACGGGTCCCCAATTCCGTTGGCAAGTGCGAGTTGTTGACAGCAACCAGAATTCGCACAAAAAACAAAACTCACGTTGCCAAAGAAATGGAAGAAATGGGCGACGTGACGGACGTTTGGTGCTCAGTTTGAACTCGAATTGCGCGTGTGTTTTGCAGGAGCGCTCCGCACAGACCTCGAGCCCATCCGTCTGGCGTACGGCAGCTGGGACGGCGCCATTGTCGACAACATCCTGGCCACCATCCTGCTTGAGGTGCGGAAATACAAAAGTTTGTTGCGCGTTTGAGCGGATTTTTGTTGTTGTTGTTGTTGTTTTGTAGTTGTTTTTTAGTTGTTTTGTTGTTGTTGTTCTTTTTTAATTGCTCCGAGATGCAAATGGAAATTGCGCTGCGACTAATAACAACGACATACACTCATTCCATAGGAGAAATTGGGCATTCCGGCGGAAATCATCGACCTCGCGGGCATTTCGGACGAGAACGTCATTGAAAAGCTGGGCCTTGGCGAGGTCGACGCCTACATGGAGTTGTGGGGCCTTGATGATGTGCTGGACGACTACATTGCTCTCAAAACCGTGCAAAACCGTAAGCGATACTGGTGATTGAATTTTAAAGGTGTTGCTGATTCCCTAACTTGGTATTTTTTTCGTTTCCTGCTTCTTTTTCCGCAGTTGGGCCTCTTGGCTTTGTTGCTCGCTTGGGTTGGTACATCCCCGACTATGTGGCCAATATTAGCCGCTCCATGACCAGCTACGACGCGTACTAGTAAGTGGTCTCCGAACTGCTGCACAACATGCTTGATGCTAGTAAGTGGTCTCCGAACTGCTGCACAACATGCTGCCCCACGGCCTGCTCACTGTTTAAATGCTCGCTGTTTGAATGCTGCTGCGCACTCAGCTTTGCCGAAACGGTCGAAATCTTCCAGCGAGAAACCATCAACTCGTCGGCCACGACGGGTGACACGCTGACGTCGTTGAGCGTGGCCGATTCCGTCGATGACACCCTGAACAGCGACGTGTGCAACCCAAGCAATGGATCTGCAACGCTGCAGGACTGTCACGACGCCCTCTCCGCCCTGGTGGAGCAGGTGCGCGAAACCTACCGCCTGCAAGAAAACAACACTCAGCTCATCACCTTCTGGACGCCTCCGCCGTACTGGTTGCCGCTGGACGAGACCATTATTCGGAATCTTGGCCTCCCGTTCAACGCGACTGTCATTCCCATGCTTCCCGAAGAAGCCGACGACGTCGAGTCTGCGATTGTGCGCAATATTCACGAGGCGTACGCCGCCCGCAAGCCCTTCATTACGTACTTTTACAAGCCCCACTCCATCTTCTCGTCCATTTCTGGGGTTGGGCTTCGTCGAGTTACGCTCCCCGAGTACACTGAAGTGTGCGCGACTTGTAAGCTCTTTCGATATTGTGTTTATTTTGCTGTTTTTCACGTTGAATTGTACTCACCCTGCTGCTACTTGCAAACCACTTCTCTCCCTGCTCCCTTGCCGCGTTTAGTGGGCGACGGATACAACTGCGACTACCCCGCAGAAGTTGTCAAGAAGGTGGCCTGGGCGGGCTTGAAACAAAAAAACTCGGTCGCCTATTCGTTCGTCAGCCAGTTCTCGTACACAGAGTACGCGCAGCAGGACATTGTTGCTGCGTCGGTTTACCAGAACAAGACCTTGGAAGAGGCCACGTGCGCGTGGTTGTTGAACAATCGGGCGGTTTGGGAGAGCCTGTTGCCCGACCCAGACTCGCTCGTCACCCCAACAGAAACCGCCCCAGCTGCCCGCATCACCATGTTCACTCTCGCCGGCCTTATTGTGCTGATTTGCTTGATTATGGGGCTGATGACTTGGCATTTCCGCCGCATCCGCATCATTCAGTCGGCCAGCCCCACATACCTGCTGCTCATCTTGTTTGGCGCTGTCATGTCCATGCTCTGGATCTTCCTCGACTACTCGGACGACCCAAGCACCGCCCAGTGCACGGCGCGTGTCTGGATGCGCCACCTGGGCTTTAGCATCATGTTCTCGGCGCTCTTCCTCAAGACATACCGAATTGCGCGCGTGTTCAAGGCGACCGTCACCAAGTCTTCACCTCTGAATGACCGTCGCCTGTTCTACCACTTTTTGCAGATGAACGCGGTCGTCATCCTCATTCTCATCATCTGGACTGTCGTGAATCCCCCGCACGCCGAGCAGCTCATCTCTGGCAACGAAAGCTACTTGGTGTGCAACATTAACTGGTGGGACAATGCCATGTACATCCTGGAGGTTGTTGCTCTCGGAGGCCTTGCCGTGGTTTGCTTCAGCGTCCGCAAGGCGCCCTCGGCGTTCAACGAATCCAAGTTTATTGCCCTGTCTGTCTACAACTGGCTTGTGGTGGCGGTTATCTTGCAAATCATCCTGCGTGCCACAAAGGGCAACGCCACCTTCTTTTTCATTATCGAATCGCTCGAGGTCTTGCTGACAGTCCCGATCATTGTCGGTCTGCTGTTGGTGCCCAAGCTCTACCTGACCCTGAAAGGAAAGGGCGGTGAGGTGAGCACGAGCAGCTACCGCGCCAACTCCACCCCTCGTCAGCACAACCACACCCCGTCTGGCGAGCCCTCGTCGGCCAAGCAGAGGAGGGACATTGAAATGTCTTCTGGCAACGGATCCGATACTGCTGGCGAGCAAAACAACAGCCCGAAGCGCAGCAGTTCCATCGAACCTGCGCCGGCTCCCAGCAGCAAAGCCGATCTGAAGGAGATGAATGCGCTGCGTACTGAAAATGCCCGCTTGCTCAAGGAGACGGAAGCAATGCGCCTTCAACTCATGCGCATGAACAATCCCCACGCATCGTCATGAGCGTTGTTTCCGAGCGTATCTGATTTCGCTTTGTAGTCGTTATGAATCGTTTTCCCCCCAAGATTTTTCGTTGTTGTTGATTGAACGTTTCGTCGTTTTCTTGAACTGTTTCGGCTCTGAATGCTTTTTGTTATTTTCTGCATGCTTTTAGCTGAATTTTGTGTTGTCCTGATTTTGTGTTGTCCTGAGTTTTTTGCTGATTTTGTGTTTGTCCTGATTTTTGCCCTGATTTTTGCATTACAATTACCCTGCCCCCAAATACGACCATCTGCATCAGTGTTGCTTTGTTCGATTCACTCTTTGTTTTTTGCTTCCTTGTTCTGTTCTGCGGAACAATGAACGCACGGCATGTGCTCGTTTGTGCGCTGGCACTCTGTCTTGTCGCCGCAGTGACAGCTCAGCTCATCCCTCAGGACGGTTTTCAAGAGGCAACCTACGTCCAGGATATCACAGAGCCTATCAAGCTGGTCTTTGCGCCAGATGGATCGGTGTGGCTTGCCGAAAAGGGTGGCCGAATCCGATATTGGCCGACTGGCATCACCGACCCTTCCAACCACGGTTTGGTGATTGCAGACCTGCGCACCAAAGTCTTCAACTGGTGGTGAGTTGTCTTTGGTGCTGTGTGCTCGTTGATGCTCGACCTGGCCGGAACATGCGGGGTGACAGTGAGAGGGTGGAATGCACGGCTTATTTCTTGAAACATCCAATTTCTCAGCCCGTGACGCATGCACAGTTGTATGACACTGTGCCCGGGATGCAGTGCATGGAAGGTCTATTGCACGGTGTGCCAAGTCGAGTAGGGGTTGGGGTGGGCTCGCACATTCAGCAGGAGGAAAGCGAAGGTGAACAAGCCGGGTGGATGTTGACACCTCGCGTCGGCTGCGTTTTTGTTTGGTTGTTCTCTCTAAATGCTGGCACCCGAAAACAACAAATGCTTGCTAAAGCTCGCTTGTGCGTTCATTTTGCTAAACCTCTCATCATCTCGCGACTGTATTGCAACCACACTAGGGATCGTGGTCTTCTCAGCATCGTGCACCATCCTGCGTGGCCTGCGCAGCCCTACCTGTACGTGCTCTACTCTGCTGACAACAAGCTTGGGAGCCCTCCGCCTCGTTATTCCGACCAGTGCGACTACGACTTGCTTTGCGAGGGCAGGTAAGATACTACAGAGTTTCCGATGACAACTCTGCTGCACTACTTTGCTCACATCTGCAATCCAATGTTCTGCTCGAATCAAATCTCTGCTTGAACCCTAACGACACTCGCCCGTACCAAATCAAGTGCTGTGCTGGCACGCCTCAAGTTCGACCTGGCAGTGCCCAGGCTCGTCGAAGAAGTCAATCTGATCAGCGATTGGTGCTCGACCAGCCCTTCTCATCACACTGGCGACATGTTCTTTGGCCCTGAGGGTGCACTGCATGTGCTAGTCGGCGACTCTGCCCATTTTGACTTTGTCGATTACGGTCAGAATGAGCGGGACACTTGCCAGTCTCGCCTTCCCGCTGGAACGCAGTATGGCGGCGCATTCAAGTCGCAAATCACCAGCATTCTCACTGGTCACCTGTTGCGTCTCGATCCAATGACGGGTGCCGCGTGGCCACAAAACCCAGCCCGAAACATGGCAGGGTACGACCCTCGCATTGCTGCCATTGGCATCCGCAACGGCTTTCGCGCAACCATTGACAAGGTGTCCAACGACATCTGGATTGGCGACGTTGGCTGGGCCGATTGGGAAGGTACGCACTGATGACGAGAACGTCTTTGGTGTATCAACGTGACTCTAATCGAGTGCAATGTTCATATGGTCGTGCAGAGGTGAACGTCATCCGCGCTGGAACGCTCGATGCCAGAGTCCCAAACCTCGGGTGGCCGTAAGTGTGCTTGCGCTTCGTGTGCAGTTAGCAGAGGTGTCTCGGTACAGACCTAACTGGTGGCTGCATGCATCAGGTGCTACGAAGGCAGCAACGTCCAACCGAGCTATCAAGCCCTCAGAGGACAGCTCTGCACCGCCTTGTACAATGCTGGAGCAGCTGCGCACCACAAACCATTCTACAGCTACAAGCACAATGACCGCAACTTTGCCGGAGTGCCGACTGATCCCACGCTGGGCAGCTCCGTCACTGGCGTTGCCGTCAACCGCGGCTCCAAGTTTCCGACCCGGTTTAACGGCGCCTTGTTTGTGGCTGACTTTTCTCGCGAAGGCAAGCATTGCGGCGAAGTGTGCTATGCTGCTCGCGTCCACTGACTTCACTATCCACTTTTGCACTTTTTGGCGACAGTCATTTTCACCTTCAAAGCTGGCGCGGACGGAAAGCCGAGCGCTACGAGCATTGAGCCCTTCCGCTCATCTGCCAGCGGTGTGTGCGATCTTGTCTTTGGTCCAGACGGTGCGCTCTACTGGATCTCGATCTTTGGCGGGTACATTAAGCGGGTGTCCTTCAGCAACGGAGCAAACCAGCCTCCGATCGCAAGGCTGACGGCGTCTCCTGGCACCACCTCCGCCACTGTTCCATTTGTGGTGACGTTCGACGCACGAAGCAGCTCCGACCCTGACGGCGATGCTCTCGTGTACGATTGGGATTATGGGCAAGGATTCCAGGATGCCAACGGCCACGCCTCGACTCGCACCCGAACTTTCAGCACGGCAGGCTCGTACATTACTCGCGTTCGTGTCACGGATCCTCAGGGTCTCACCAACATTTATGGCCTGTCCATTTCGGCTGGAGTGAACTACCAAGTGACGATTGACGCCCCGAACGCCATGACGGCGCTCTTTGTGCCTGGAACCAACATCCCCTTCAGCGGCCGCGTCACCGAAACCATTCGAGGCGAGGTCGTGCCAGCTTCGCAGCTCACCTGGACTGTCACGATCCAGCACTGCCCCAGCATCCCCGGCGAATGCTTGCCCGACGGCACGCGCGCCCCTAGTCCAGTCAACTGCCACACGCACCCGTACGTCAGCTTGCCCGGCGTGGCAAGTGGGACAGTGTCTGCACCTGCGCACGAGTACCCTGCTTGGTTGACCTTCCAGCTGGCAGCCTCCATTCCTCAAGGTGGCTCGACTCCCTTGACCGTCGCACAGCAGCTCGAGTATCTACCGTTGACTGGATTTTTGGAGGTGGATTCCGTTCCCTCAGGCCTCAAGATGATTGTGGGATCGACCGTCTGCATCACTCCCTGTCGCAAGCAGCTCATGCGCAATGCACCGACGAGCATCAGCGCCCCAGACAACCAAGACCAGCCGTCCAGTCCAGGCGCTGGCCAAGTGTACAAGTTTGCGAGATGGTCGGATGACGCATCCAAGCCAGCCACTCGCACCGAGGGTGTGCCTTCCAACCAACCCCAGCTTCGACTCGTTGCCGTCTTCAACTTGAGTGCTCGCCCGGCTGGCTATACCGACACACTTGCTCTGGATCCTGCAAACCTCCCGTGCCCCAATGCACCGACTTCGTCTCCTCCAGCACCTCAGCCATCTGGATGCTCATCTGCCGTGGAGAACCAGCTCGTGATTGACGCATTCAATTCTGGTGGCCTGACCACGAACGGCCTTGGCATGTACACCGATACAGACGGCACGATGGTGACCTTTACCAAATCTGGTGGCAAGCTGACCCTGGGCACCAAGGCGGACGGTAGCTCGTACTGGTACTCTCTCTTGTCGTCTGCCACAACCTGCCTTGACGCCACTCAATACGACTACCTGTCCCTGGTTGTGACGGCTCCGACCAACACGCGCGTCACGATCGAGCTGCAGGCCAAGGATGCTGGCTGCCAAACGTTCACGGCAACGCTTGCCACTGTCGCCTTACAGCAGTATGCTGCCTCGCCCTTTGATGGGACGGCCAAGACTGTCAACATTCCGCTATCCGCGTTCACGGGCGTTCCGCAGGCCAGACTGCATGCAATTACATTGTCCGCCTTTTTGCCCAACGCGGTCTCGGTCCAGCTCGACGATATTCGCCTGGTCAAGTTTGCAGACTGCAGCAGCCCAAGCTCTACGCGGTATGCCGCGCCCACCAGTTCCGCGACGCCCGTGGTGGTGCAGCCCACTGGCTCCTGTTCGACCACGGAACTTGTTGTGGACGATTTCGCCAATGCCGCAATCACGATCAATACCCTGGGCTTTTTGACCAGCGACGATGGCAGCATGACCCAGTTCACCCAAACAGGAGGCAAGCTGAGCATGACCAGCTCGGCCGCTGGGGCCTCGTACTGGTACTCGTTGCTCTCCACAGCAACAACGTGCTTGGATGTCAGCACGTACAACTCGCTGGCATTGCGAGTGAAAGCGCCTGCAGGGACTACCATGATCCTCGAGCTGCAGGTCAAGAATGTTGGCTGCACCGCCTATGCCGGATCCACTGCCAGAGTTGCGCTTCAGTCGTACGCAGAAACTCCCTTTGACGGCACTGAAAAGCAAGTGACCATTCCCTTCAGCGCATTCCAGACCGTCTCGATGGCCCGCGTGCATGCCATTGCCATCACTGACATTACACCGAATCCGGTCTCGTTCACCTTTGACGACATCAAGTTTGTCAAGACTTCCAACTGTGCTTCGCCAAGCTCGAAGCCTGGTGTCCCGCCAAGCAGCTCCGCCACCCCTATTGTGGCCGCAAGCACCAGTTCCAGAGTTTCCGCAAGCACCAGTTCCCGAGTTTCCGCAAGCACCAGTTCCAGAGTTCCCGCAAGTAGCACTGCAGTCGCTCCCGCAAGCAGCACTGCAAGTGGTCCTGGTGGCAGCTGCACGGCCGCGCCAGTGGTGGTTGACAACTTTAACGATGCCACCATCACCGTGAACACGCTTGGACATCTCACGAGCGACGATGGCTCCATGGCCCAGTTTGCCATCTCTGGCGGAGCACTGAACCTTGTCGGCAAAGCGAGTGGCGGCTCGTACTGGTACTCGTTGCTCGGAGGAACGGGAGGCGGAACGTGTTTCTCTGCCGCCTCGCACAACGCGCTTCAACTCGACATTAAAGCACCCGCTGGTGCGCAAGTGACGCTGGTGATTCAGATGCGGAATGCAGCTTGTTCCGCATTTGCAACCCAAGTGACTGTTCCGCTGCAACCATTGTCACTTTCAATGGAGCGATGCAAACGGCCACCATCCGGTTTGCCAGCCTGCCCGCTGCGACCTTCCTCCCTGCGCGTCTCCACGCCCTCGCTCTTGAGATTGTGTCTCCTGCCACCGCTGCCATTACGCTGGACAACATTCGCTTTGTGTGTGTTTGAAGCGTGTGGGTTTTTCGCATTGCGATGCATGCATTTCCCAGTTTTTTTTGTTCTTTGTTTGAGATTGCTTTTTTTTTTTTTTGCCTTTTTTCGAATTCTTGTTTGCTGAGTGTGGTTTTCTTGTTTGTTGGTGGTGGTTTTATGTTCGTGTCTTTCACCTAATTTGGTTGATTCGAATCTAGATCAAATCTCGTTTAAATTTTTCTTAGTCTTTTTTTTTTTTTTTTCTTTTACAATCACAATGCAGCTTCTTTCTTTGCTCCTCGCGCTCGTCGCGATGCCCATGCTGGTAACAACCGCGCTTAAAGCCCCCCTTCCTTGTCAACCTTGTTTCCTTTCTACTCTCCTTGCCTCCGCCGCTCTCCCTTCTTGATAAGCGGAGGGTGGGGAGGGGAAAGCAATGGGTGACCCCCTTGTGTATTTCTTTCGCCTTTTTCGACCCTCTTCTCTCTCTCTCTCTATCTCTTCTTCTGCGTCCGCCGCTGCTGCCATCTGTCTCACTTGTCTCACTTGCTTGTCTGGCTTATTAGGTGTCTGCGTACGACTCCTGCGGCGCTGGCTACTACTGCTGTAAGCGACCCATTGTGTTGTGTTTTTTTTTTTTTGTTTTTTGACGGGTCTTTTTCTCGTTTCTCTCTTTGTTCGCTGCGTCTTTCCGCTCCGCTCCTCTGGTTGCTCGCAATGAAGCGTGGCTCATGAAGTGCAAAAGCGACAACAGCACGACAGCGGACGACGAACAACAAGAACAAGAACAAAAAAAAGAAAAAAAAAAAAGACCGAAAAATGCTTATTTTTCAAACAAAACTCGCTTTTTTTTCTTCTATTTTATTCCCTTTCGTTTCGCTTTCGTCAACAACAAACTTGTTCTGCGCAAGTCGAACATCAACAACAAAGCGCTGCTCTGAGTATCAACGGCAGAAAGGCAGAAAGGCGAAGGCGCAGCGGTTTTTGAATCGCGCACATTTTGTGCCATTTGCTCAATGCTAAAAGTGTTTTTGATCGAACACCAACAACCACGAGCACGAGCACGAGCTCTGCTCTGCGGCTGTCTCGCAAACCAACGAGCGAACAATGAGATAGAGAGAGATGGGGTGAGGGGGTGGAATTGAGTGTGGCAAAGTGACGCGGTGACGTGCTTTTGCTGCGTCTGCGGAGGTTTAGGCGAATGCAACGTCACACCCCATTAGCCCCACCCCCTCGACCCGAGTCGACTCGGAGCAGTACCTACTCACTCGTTGGTCACAGTGTGAGGCGTGAGGCGTGAGGCGTGAGGCGTGAGGCGTGAGGCGTGAGGTTGGAAAGTCTAATGTCATCTCGTTCTCTCGCTCTCCCTTCGCTTTGCTCTCCCTTCGCTTCTGACGTCACAGCATGTCATCTTCTCCAATTGCACTCTGACTCTCGTGTCACACTCACTTTGAATGATGTCCCTTTTTTTGACTTTTTCTATCCTGTTAGCGTCGCCGTACTACTGCTGCTCCCCTTACCCTTACTCGGTAAAGAATTCTGGCTGCAAATCGCATTGGTTTCTTTTATTGTTCATTGCCTTGCTCACATCCTTTGTCTTTGTCTGTTTTGCACAGTGCTGCACCTCTGTGTAAGAACCGCTGCTGCTCCAGCATGATTCAACTTCTTGTTGTATCTCGAGCACACTCGGATTGGTTTGTTGAGAAAAATCGTTTGTTGGCTCACTTCCTCGTTTGTTTCTCTTTTTGCTCTGTTCGCTTGACTCGACTTTTGCATCTTCTTTTCGACTCTCTCCGTAGCGCGTAAGTTCTCATCGAGTCACTGTTGAACGAAACCCGGAAGCGGCGGTGGTGCAAAACCTAACACTTTTGTTTGCTGGTGTTCTTCTGGACAAACAGTGGCCTCTGGTACTTCTGGGTGGCTATGGTGGTTGGCGTTGCCATCTTTGCCTGCTTTATCATCTGCGTTGTCCGCCGTCGCCGCGCTTCCTACATCGCCACGACCTATGTTGCCCCCGTTCAGCAGCCCGCTGGCACCGTTGTCACCACCTCCACCGCTTATCCGGCTCAGGGTGGCTACCCGCCGCAGGGTTACCCGCCGCAGGGCTACCAGCAAGGCTACCCGCCCCAGCAAGGCTACCCTCCCCAGCAAGGCTACCCTCCCCAGCAAGGCTACCCGCCGCAGGGTGGCTACCCGCCGCAGCAGGGCACCTACCCCCCTCAGAACTACTACGGCACTCCCGCTCCCCCGTCGTACGAGGCCGAGCTTGCCAAGTCCTCTGCTCCCCAGTAAAGCTAGTCTTTCTGTGTTCCGGTTTCTGAGGAATTGGATCTTGCCGCTTTGTTGATGTGCATTTTCGCAGTAGACTTCTTTTTTGTTTTAGGCTGCGAACAATTGCGTGTTCTTTGCATCGTTGTGCACAAAGTAGCCTCAACAATACAGCGCATGGTCTGATTTTCATTCGTGCGCTTTCGTGCTGCAAATTCTTCGGCAAAAAAAGTTGTGTGGTTGCCCAAAGCTTCCGAAAAAACATGCAAAAGTCTTGTACTACAGTATCTTATTATTGTTCAATATTCTTTTTACATGGACGACAGCTGGGGATGCAGGAATAGTGGCAACTGCGAGGCCAAGAACGGTTGCTGGAGCGTTTCCAATGGCCGCATTGCGTCTACGACCGCTTGCGAGATGGGTGCCGCAGCCAGGGTATTGCCAGAACCTTGAGCATTGCCCTGGCCTTGTTTTGCGACTGAGCTGGGCTTGGGTACGCGCGACATTGGTCGGGATGCGGCCTGCAGAGTAGACGAAGCAGAAGTTGATGAAGCGGCTTCTCCCAGCTGCTGCTCCACTGCGCGCGCAATGACTGCCGCGGGCGATCGGCCTGGCTGGCTCGTCGCATTGTGCACCGATGCACCGTCTGGCGATGCGGCCGCGGCAGCATCGAGCCTTGCCTGCGTCACCAGCGTTCCCGGCGCAAAGTAGTTCCCGCTCCCGACGCGGCATCCGCGCTGCACGACGCACTTGGCGCCAAAGATGTTGCCCGAGCCGATCGAGACGGCTTCGACGCGGCAGTCTGGCTCAAAGATGTTGCCCGCGCCGACGGTGACGGTGACGTTGCCACTGGACGAGTACGACTGGGATTGAGACTGGGATTGGGACTGGGATTGAGACGGGGACTCTGGTGCCACCGCGCGGATGACGGCACGCTCGCTCACAATGTTGCCAGAGCCAAACACAATGGTGCAGCCGTCGTCCGCGGTGATCTGGGCTGCGGGCTGCACGACGCAACCCGGGCCGACGACCACCTGGCCCTTCACCAGCGCCTCGACGCACACGAACGCAGTCGGATCAAACGACATGCTCAAAGTGAGTGTGTGTGGGTGGGTGGATGAGTGGTGGTGATTAGGAATTGAGAAAAGTTTAGTGAACTCAATCCTATGAAGATTTTGTTCAAGGATGATCGAAACAAACAAAAAGATAGTCGAAAACGAACAAAATCAAAGCAAAAGACTGAGTTCAGTCTTTTTTCCCTAATTTTTTCTAGTTTTTGTGGTTTTTGTTATAAAGAATTCGTATCATTTTTTCTTTACTTATTATTAAAACAAATTCTGATACTGAACGATGAGCAACTTTCCAAGCAGCAACAATAACAGCAACAACAGCGGCGGTCGTCCGTTTTACGCTCTTTCTGAGGGCGCCTTTCCGCCGAGCCAGCCCACGCATCATCATCATCATCAGCAGCATCGTCAGCATCAATATCAGCATCAGTATCAGCAGCAGCATCAGCAAGCGCAGGGCCAGCATGGGTGGGGCGACGACGTCAGCTATGCGACGCCACCACAGCGCCAACCGCCGCAGCAGCCGCAGTACCAGCACCAGCACAACTGGCAGCAGCATCAACAGCATCAACAGCAGCAGCAGCAGCAGCGACTGGATCTGCTCGCTGCAGAGTTCAGAAACCTGCCCACTTCGTCGAGTACTCCAAGCAGCACCATCTACGCGCCAACCCCATCCCTATCATCACTATCATCACTATCATCGATGACACCGTCATCAGCATCGACGACGCCGGCTGGGGTCGCGTCGACGGGATCGCCGGCAACGTCCTACGCCACTACAGCCAACCCAGGCACTCCTGCTGCTCCTATTGCGAACACTACTGCTACAACTGCTACTCCTTCTACTTCTACTTCTACTACGGATTATAATGACGAGGCGGCGTACTCGTATGGCGACGATTACGAGTTGGACGACTACCCCGACCATAGTCCGAATGCTATTGCTAATGCTAATGCCAATACTAATGCTAACCCAGTCAATGCGAATGCTACTGCGACTACTGCCAAGCCTCAGGTTGTCGGCGCCGTGCTCAGCCAAGCCCCGCCGGCTGCGTCGGAACAAGACTTTATTCCCTCGATATACCGTGCGTCTGGTGCTCGGCTTGCGACTGCTGCGTCCGAGTTTGGCGCTGCTCGCGGTGGCCATGGTGCGCATCACCCAAACGAGCAGACGCAACAGCCGCAGCCGCAACAGACGCAGCCGCAACAGACACAGGCTCCCACCACGTCCTCCAGGCTGGCCGCGCTGAGCGCCGCTGCCGCAGGCGTGCCCTCCACCACCGCCACGACCCTGGCCTCCTCGTCCCTCCCGCCCAAAAACTCAATGTCCGAGGCCACGCTGCAGCACATTTACGGCTTTTTGCTCGTGCGCTGCGTGGAACAGCGCTTCACTGTGCTCCAGGCCGTCTTGAACTTGATACCGACTCTGCATGCGGCCATCTCGAAGGGCTTGACGTCGCTTCGCAACATGTGCATCACGCAGATTCACGACGTGGATGCTCGCAACACAATCTTGGCTCGCTCGCGCCTGATTCTGGAGGCCATTGTTGTCTTCATTTTGGAGGAGTGCCACGAGCAGGACATTACCGACGCTCTCGACCACAACCTCGGCTTGCTCCGGTCCCGCATTTCTTACCCGGCTGACATCAACCGCTTTTACCAGCTGCGGCACTACGGCAACGTTGCGCTGCATCGCACCGCATCTGCGCGTGGCGATGCCGACACGCCGCTCGTCACGATCGATCGCATGCTCTGTGACCTCACGATCGTCCTCATCAAGACGCGCCGCATCATTCAGCACGTCGCGTCCTCCCAAAACACCGGTCCGGTCCTGCAGCCAGGCCAGGGCTACAAGCGGGTGCTGTGCCGTCACTTTTTGCGCGGCGCGTGCGGCTTTGGCAGCAAGTGCTCGTTTGCGCATGGCACGTCCGACCTGGTCTCGCGCAACGGCACCCACCCAAACCTCCCCAACCACGTCGCCGTCCATGCCAGCGCTGTCACGAGCGAGGAGGACGGCCGCGTCGTTCTCGATGTGATGCCTGGCCTCCCCAACCGCCTCGAGCTCTTGTCCGTCTTCCTTAAGCTCATGACCCAGCGCAACCCGTCCGTATTCGATGCGATTGTGACCGAATTCCAAAACATCCGCACATCGATGCACCACGACCAATTGCGCGACCCCAAGGCACGCCTCTTTGTGCTCTCCCACGCCTCGAGTATTCTGAGCCACGTTACCAACTACATTCTCGACTTTTTCCGCGACACGACGCAACCCCGCGATGCGCCCATCAGCGAGCGCTGCCAGCGCCTTCGCGAGTACCTTGTCGACACGTCGGATGTCAATCGCATCTTCCAGTTCAAGGAGCACATGCTGTTGCTGCCTCGCGTGGACTTGGCGGCGCTGGAGGCCTCAGAGCATATTGACCAACACCACCACGCCGTGTCCGTGCTCGACCTCGATCTCATGCTCTGCGACCTGACCAAGCTGTTTGATTTGGTCATGGAGCTGCTCGACTGTGGTGACGTGACCGCTTATCGTGCGGCAAAGGGTCTTGTTAGCGGCCGTAGTCGTTCCGCGCTGGCGTCCAACGCTCGCGGAAACATGACCCCGTCCAGCATTTCGCGCGCGGCTGCTCAGTCTCGCGGCGTCAAGCTCAGCGCTCGATTGGCCAACAAGGCCAGCCAACTTGCCGACCCGTAGGCATGCGTGGTTATTATGAGCACAGATTGCAACGAAGCAGTCTCGAAGTGGGGAACTTTTCAATTCTAACCCGAGTTTATGTTGTAGTTTTGCCAGTTCTGTTCTTCATTTTTTTGGCCTTTTCCTTTACTTTTTATTGTCCTATCTCACTAATGACCCCTTCCGATTCGTATCTGTTCTGTTTACCCCGTTATTCTGAGGGTTTTCTCTATCATTGCCGGCTATGTGATTCTATGATTGTTATTCTATGATGCTATGATGCTTAAACTGTCGAGGAGGTCGAGCTGTTATGTTTTGGTGCCGGCCATGTCCTCGATTCTTTTTTGTCACGCCTTCAGGATGCGGCCTCTAACCCTAAACCCTTCGTCAATCTATTCCTTGTCTTGTCTGCACTAATCTTGTCAACAATATGAAATTGTCACCGTTCTCCTTGCATCCACCAGTCGAAAGTTTTGCGCAGTTCGGGTTCAGTGTTTTGTGTTGTATTAGCACATAAAGGAGAAACAAACAAACAAAATAACTCGAAACCACAGATCAAAACCCCCACAAGAAGAAAACAAAAAAACATCAAGAATACACAACAACAACAACAAGTGGATATCTGCACGGTAGCTTGTTTTTCGGTTTTTTTTTTGATTGAATTACTTGAGACGAGCGACAACACCCTCGTATGCGGCGCGCTTGGCTTCGTCCACTTCACCAGCGAGCGTCTTCAGGTAGTTTGCCGACCGCTTCATCAACGCAACGTCAAAGGCGTTGTTACGCTTGGTAAGGTTCCACAGGTTGACGGCAAGTGATGCATTCTTGGCCGACGACAGATCCGACAGCGAAATCACCAAGTTGAAGAGCTGGAGGGCAAGATCGGCCTGTCGCTTGTGGGCTTCAGCATTGGCGTTGTCTTGCAGCGAGGCCAAATGCGTCAGAATCTCCTCGTTCACGGCCACAACAACCTTATTGATTTCTTCCAAGAAGGAAGTCTCTCCACCGTAGAGCGTGTCGTTGGACTCGACTAATCAATCGGACACACACACACAAAAAGAAATAGTCGGGTGAAGCAGCAGACAGTGAAAAAGTAAGTCCAACGGACAGAGATGCGGCCAAACACTTCAACACAACATGCAGTCGTGAGCCTCTCTTTACCTCCTTCAATGCGGTAGGCATAGTGTGTTTGGTGCATCGACGCCATGAGCGAGAGAATGCCCATGTACACACGAATCTTGCCATCGCCATTCTCCTCCCACTGATACGTCTGAATCATGTTAATCAAGCCCTTGACCATGTAGAGCTTGCCGTGGTCGGGATGATCGGGCACGACGAGGAGCGTCGACAGGAACTCGAGCAAGAAGCTGACCAGAATCGGTTCTGTCGATCGTTGCTTGAGGTCAATCTCTGTGGTCTTTGGAATATCGGGAATCAGCGTCACAGCAGCGCGGAAGAAGGCGTCGGCCTGTGGGAGCGCCTGGTTGGCCAGCGCGACTTGTCCTGCCAACAGGTAGAGGTTGAGGCGGGAAACGACGTCCACAATGGACGGGATGGTGATGAACGAGTATGCAATGCAGGCCTACGAGTAAACGAAAAAAAAAACAGTCGCAGTGCATGAGTGCCATCATTCCCAGAACAAAATTACGAGACAACAGCGAGCCGAATTCCCTTACTCTGGCAAATGCGGCCGTTTTCTTGGTATGACGGCCCTTCACAATGGTCTGGGCGCGCATAACAAGTGTGTTGGCACACTGGGTCAGGTGGATGAGCACCGTGTCCAGGTTGGTAAAGTTGGCACGCGCTTCGACGTAAAAGTTGAGTTGTTGCTCGAGGTCACGACCGAAAGAAACCTAAAGTGGGCATTCGAGTGTATCAGCAAACAAACAAACAAAAAGCACACAAAAATGAGAATGGCATGGCCATAACACGGTAACACCCTCGAAGACCTACCTTGCGCAAAAAGCCGCAAATCAGATTCGAAGTCTGTCGACGCTCGTCGTCAAAGGACAGGGCGTCGATGGCGTCGTGCAGGACTTTGCCCACATACACGAGGGCGTTGAGAATAACAGGGTCGGCAGTAGGCACCAGTTGTCGCTTGACAAAAGCCTCCATGACCGCCTTGCAGACATCCACCTTGATGGATGCCTTTTGGAAGAGGTCGATGAACGGCATAAACTTGTCCTGGAGCCACAGTGAAATGAAAGCAAAAAGGGTGAGTGCATGGTCACCGAAACAAACGAAAAAACAAAGGGCAAGCACAATTGCAAAACAGGCATACCATTGAGAACAGCATGCCAAAGTCCGTAATGTGTGAAAGAACCTTGTTCACGATCGATTGAAGTTGAGGGTAGAACGATTCAAAAGCGCGATCGACAGTGACATGCTTGATCACGTCGCCCAAGAAGGCGTTAATTTGCGCGGCCTGCCAAGAAAACAACGAAGAAATAACAATAAAGTCAGCGCATGCGGTCGATCAAGGGCCACCTCTGCACCCTTCCCCCCTGCGCACCCAATGAATGTACTTACACCAAAGTGCTTGACCGGATACTCAATCCACACCTCGGCGCAGCTCATGTACGGAATGGGATCGGTGAGTTTCATGACCACCTTCCATACTTCGTTGAGAATGGTCAAGCGGAGCTTTTCTGGCGGGTCGCTCAACACGAGGTTTGTGCCGAGTGTGCGATACAGATCGTGCTGTGGTCGAGATTGCAGTCAGTGAGTTTTTCGTCTCGTCCACAACAAAGAGTCACACGTACAACAAACAAGCAAACAAACAAACAAACAAACAAAACAAACAAACACAAGAATGCTTACAATGGCAAACCCGGTGCAGTCCGCAGTGCGAATCAGCTCGGTGAAAATGGTCGCTTGGGAGGACACGTAGGTGGGACGGAAGGCAGTGAGAATGGCGTTGAGGACGACTGCCGACTTGCACTGGTCGTTGTACTGCTTCAAGATCTTTTCGAGCGTTGCTTCGGGTGCTCGGTAGGCGATGCAGTTGAGGAGCCACTCGACCGCCGGCGCGTAGAGGTTGAGGTACGAGCCGAGATCGACGTTCTGCTCCTGCAGGATGCGCGCCACAGCGGACGACTGCACCTGCTTGAAGGCAAAGAAAAAGTCGGACAGGTTGCCCGCCAGGTAGCCACGCACGTTGGGCGCAACCGTCCAGCCAACACGGCAGAGATAGGCGCGAGCGTAGACGCAGACGAGCGGGTCGCCGATACCGCGAATCATCTTTGAGAGACGGCCCAGGGCGTGCGTGTACTCGTCGGTGGTGAGGAAGGAGTAGCATTTGAGGATGGCCGTCTCGACGTACAGGCGCGGGATGAGCTCGCGAATGGAGGCAATCTTGAAAAACCAGTTGCGGCACGTCTCCTTGGCCGAGTCGGGCACCATGGACGGGGTAAAGTCTTCTGGCAGGACGACCGGCTTGACGGCGCCAGGCTTAAAGTAGCTCGACTTGAGCCGAATGCGGTCGTACACGAGCCGTCCGAACGTGTCCAAAATGTCTGTAATGAGGACAAACTTGCTCGGGTAGAAGCGAATGACGGCCGTGTCCGCGAGCAGCTTGGCGCACTGGATGGCAATCTTGAGTGACTTGACGCGCTGGTCGGCGTCCCAGGCCTTGATGAGCTCCTGGTTGAGCTCCTCAATGCGGTTCATGTAGTCCTGCTGGGAGAGCTCGTCCAGCTTCTCCTGGTCTGTGCCCTCAAAGTCGTCGAGCTGCTCGACGCGGTGGCGCACCTTGTCCGTGAGCGCCGACTGGGCTTTGAGCATGGTCTTGTCGCCGACAGTGAGGAAGCTCGTGACGATGGACAGCTTCTCCGACGTCGTGTACTTTTGCAGGATGGCGCCGCGGCGTGCCACCCACGGCTCAAAGGTCTCGCCGTCATCGGCAACCATATCGACGTCGTGCGCGAGGCTCAAGCGGCCGCTCAGGCCAGAGGTTGGGCCGCTGGCGCTGCTGCCCGTGCCGCCAATCGATGATCCCGCGCCGCCCATGGCCGCGGCCGCCGACAGCGGGTCCATGATACCGCCCGACAGCGGGTCGTTCAACGGTGTTGATCCCGCGCTGTTTGCCTTGGCGAGCATGGCCGAGAGCGGGTCGAGATCGGCAGCGGCAGTCGCAGCAGCAGCAGCGTTGGCGGCGTCTGCGTTCGCGGCAGCAGCAGCAGCAGCAGCAGCGGCGGCGTCTGCGTCTTGCTTTCGCTTGAGTTCTGCAATGCAATACGAGTTGAGATTGAGATTGAAAGTGAGATTGAGAATTGAGAATTGAAAGTGATCATCAAATGCAAAAGTCAACTGACTGCTGATTTTTTTTTTTTTTTTTTTGGTCCTCCAATGCTTTTTCCATTCAATTCAGTTTGGTCTTCTCTCTCTCTCTCTCTCTCTCTGGTTTCCATCTCTCGTTCTGCTCCTTCACTCTCCCTCCTCCTCCTTCTCTCACAGCCTCGGTTTTCGCGTCTTTCGTTCTTCGTGTGTGGATCTGAAATGCGAGGCAAAGAACAAAAAGAAGGAGAAAAATCCAGCTCGTGACGATCTCGGCAAATTTCCAATCCTCACTCTCACTCACTCTGCACACTCACTCACTCACCCACTCGCACTCGCACTCACTCTGAACTCTGAAAGCTCACTCGATCGCGGTCTGGCTGACTCGCTCTCGCTCTGTGGGAAATCGCGGCCCAATTCTCAATCCGTTCGCTTCCTTCCCCATCCCCTTCCTCCCCTTCCTCCTTCCCCTCTCCCCCCCTTGCTTGCTTGATGCGACGTGCCTTCAAGCTCAGCGGCCTTCTTGGCTTCGGTGGCAGACTGCAGCGGGTGCACGAGCGTCGCGCGTCCACTGCGCGAATGCACGCTCGATTCAGCGCCATAGTCGCGCTCACGAACGCTCCAATCCGTCGACATGAGAAGAAAAAAAAAAAAAAGGAGTGACTGACATGAGCCATCTGGGCATTGTCCACATGAATGATCAAAAGTTAATACGAACATCAAGCGCGTTCAATGGCTGCGTGAGCGGCAATGCTGGGCGAAAAACGAACCTGCTCAGAATTGTTGGAAGCCGATTTTGCAACACCCTCAACGGAACATCAACTGCAATCAATACTGAAGTGCAAGGAAAGGACCTCTACTGGACAGTAGAGCAATGGGAGGGAAGGAATGATGGATGGGGTCCTCTGTAAAAGAACCTCAAGCTGGAATTACACAAGCACGAGCACAGAACAAAGGTCGAGCAGAAGGAGCTAAAGAACAACGTTCATTGACACTTGACACTCTCACAATAGCAATCCATTATCATCATCATCATCGTCGTCGGTCAGATGATCGACGTGCCGAACAGCAGCGGGTGGGGCAGGACGGCGAGCGTCCGGACTTGGGACAACAATGGGCGGTGGCAAAGAATGATTCACATCAACGGCCGATAGCAAGAAGAGCAGCGGGATGGCCGCAACAGTGTAAATCGCGGCAGTAATGTTAAAGGAAAAGACATAGCCGCGATTCTCCACCAGCAAGCCACCAACCAACGCGGAAGCGCTCCAGGTCACATTGTTGATACTCTCCGCCGCATTGTACTTGTTGCGCAAGTGTTTCGGAGTCAAGTCCATGATGATACTTCGCAGTAGAGGCTGGTAGGCAGTCATGGCGGATGTGCGAACAACGTACAGCGCAATCGCAACCACGACCGGCGCAGGTATTGACATGAGGAAGAGCATTGCAATGCCAATGCCCTTGAACAGCATGACGGTATGCAGGCGCCCAAGTGGTTGACTCAAACGAGCGGCGACCATGGACAGAACTGCAATCGCGATTGGCGTGCAGCCCCAGATCAGATTGACCACCAGTGGAGAAAGGTGGTGAACATTCTAAGCAAGCAAACGACAAGAACCAAACAAGGTGAGTCGATTGAGAGACCAAACCAAATCAACAAAAGCGTTGTGTCTTCAGAAGCTCCATGAAAGCGCACGCGAACAAACCTTGAAATACAGCGCAAAGAAACGGACTGTCATTCCCGCGCCGAGCATGGTGACAATATCTGACATGACTAGAATCAGGGGAATGTAGGCAAACCACCGGTGCTTGACGTTGTAGTTGGACAGTACCGCCAAACGAGAGGCAGGGAGCAAGTCGCCCGATTCGTCCTCCTCATCCGCTTCCTTGTTGTTCTGGTAGACATCGTTCGAGCCCTCGGCATGAGGAACTGGCTTTTTTGTCCCAGATTTTTGAGGATGAGCTGGGCTGTCCGCGTCTGACGGGGAGATTTCGAGCAGAACGACATCCTCGTCGTCGTCGTCGTCGTTCTCATTTGCGGGTCTGCTCTTCGACGACGGACGATGGGTCAACGGCACAACCACAGGCAGTTTCCCATCACTCGCATCATCAGCATCGCCATCACTGTTGCCATCGCCTGCCTTTCCGGGATTGAGCAGTGGCGCGTCGTGCAAGACTGCCAAAACGCCTTCCGATTCGTCCTTCAGCGAGTCTGCGTCTCGGATAAACCAGCACAGGGCCGTCGAGACCAGCGACAATGCCGAAAACACAATGAGGACGAGGTACGCCTTGCCCCAGTCGTCCGCGAGCCACACATGGAAGATGAGCGCGGAGATGAGAAAGCCCATTCCCATGCCAACGCTGGAGACGGAGTGCTTGACGGCGTAGATGAACTCGCGCTGGTTGGTCCGCACAGAGTCTGCCAGCAGCGATTCAATGCCAATGCTGGCCGCGGCGTTGTAGATGCCCCAGGCGGACATGGCGGGAAACAGGAGCGGCATGGAGCGCGTCCAGTACGACGCGACGCCGAGCCCCGCAGCCACGAGCGCGGCCACCGAGCCAAAGCGCAGGATGGTCTGGCGGCGGATGCTTGCCCGCGTGCACCATGCCAGGCCGACAGCGGCAACCGTCTCGCTGATGCCGTTCGCGCCAGAGACGTAGCCGACCATGGCTTCGTCGTCCGAGGTCAGCGACTCGATGAAGGCAGACAGCGCAATGCCGCCAATCACATTCGCACACAGCTGGTCGACAAATGCAAATGCAATCGACAGGCGCACAGTGCGGTGGGACGCGGCGACAGACCGCTTCACTCCACGCAGCCACGCCACGACCGCTCCGAAACCGGTTTCGGTTTTGCTGGGAATCGAACCCGAGTCGCCGCCAGCCCCTTCGCCCACCGCCGATCGTCCAGCAGGAGCAGTGCCACCGTTGGTCGAATCGTCTGACGAGCGCCGTCTGTTGTGGGTGTGCGGTGCCGCGTTGCGTAATGGTGCGAACTGCTCATTCCCACCGCCGCCCACGCTCAGACTACCATCGCCGCCGCTCCAGTTCCAGCCACCGGCGTCGTCGTCGTCGTCGTCGTTGTCATCATGTTCAATCTGCAAGCGCACGGTTCGCTCGGCAGCCGCCATTTGTGGTCAGAATGATGTTCGTTCGGTCAAAATCGACAGAATCAAAAATCGAAACGAACAAACAAACAACTAAAAAACCAAAAACGAGAACTGAGAATCCAGTTTGAGACCAACAAAAAAAGTAATCGCCGAACAGCTGCGACTTCTGATGGGAGACAAACAGTGCAAGCATTCTACGGCAAGTGAACTGTGACGAGGACGTTGTCGTTGCTTTTGTTGTTTACAAATTGAATTCTGAGCAACCAAAAACAAAAACAAGTAACCGAAAAACAACATCCAAACGCCAAAACACCAGCCGCGCATCGGCCTCCGACTACATCTTCATCGGCATGCTGGAGTGGTGCAGGTCGACCTTGGCGTGATCCATGTCGGCCGGCGTGCGGTGCTGCATGCGCGCCTTGGCCATCTCAATCATGAACTTGATGCCCTTGACGCCAGAGTTGTCCCACATTTCGCCAATGGTCGGCTCGATCTTGATCAGGGCAATCTCGGGCGAGTCGCGGCCCTTTGGGAAGTACGTCTTCCACGAGTCGCGCCACAGCTCGTGGATTTTCTCGCGTTCGTGGTGAATGAACGCTCGGCCGCTCATGCTGATAAACGTGGCGCCCTTCTGGATGGTCACGCAGACGTCCGGGAATTGCTGAATCTCGGCAACCTTGCCCTCCGACCCGTCCGTGACAAACCACGTATCGCAGTTGTCCTCGAGCGACGCAAGCGCCATCGGACGGGCTCGAATCGGGCCGCCTTCGCCGCAGTGCGTCACGAGCATGGCCGTGTCGCTGCCCTTGATCACGTCGTGAAAGCGCGCCTTGTCCTTGTCGCTTGTTTGCACAAACTGCACCGACGGGTGGTAGGCAGGCGTTGCGGTGTTTGTATTCATCTTGCTTGAGTCTCTGAGGTTGAAAGTTCAGCGGTGTTCAAAAGGAGGAGTGCGTGCTCACGATGTGAAAATTTCGAAACAAGAGTTGGCGTTCAAAGGCAAAATACAAAAACCGGCCACTTCGCTCGGCGTTCTTCTTTCTCTGCAGCTCAAAGCGAGGCCGCTGAGGTCAGATCAGCTTGGATTCTGGCGTCGGCTGGATTCACAGCAAAAGGTGAGGACGAGAGCTCGTGCAACTAGTTTGTGGGAGCAAACAAAAGCAATGAAGAGAGAGAACGCTGATTTTGGTTTCAAAAGTCGCGTCTCAGTCGTTTTTTCTTTCGAACTGGTGAATTAATTATCGCTCTCGTTGGGTTGAGACATCTTGTTTGTTGGGGGGGGGGACGTGTTCCTCACTGTTTCGACTCTCACATTTCTTCACACAGAGTAACTACTACAACTTTTCCAAGCAAGCCAGTCCAAGCCATGCCAGCTGAAAACGAAAAGACAGTCAACATGCCCACGACGACCACCGTGGAGGAAAAGCCGGTCGAGCAGCCAAACATTGCCGAGCGCATTGGAAACGCCTTTGTCCACGCCAAGGATGTGATGGCTGAGAAGATGGGCTTGTCTCACAAGGAGACCCACAAGGACGAGACTCAGCCCAAGGCGTGAGCGACAACTGGTCTGGTGCAAGTGTTGTACAGTTATTGCACAGTAAAGTTGCTTCGTCGACCATATTCTTTCGAAGGATGGATAGCGAGGGTGCCGTGCAGGGGGAAAATACCAATTCGCATTCACCAACACAGGCTTTACAACAACGCTCGACGCTTCAACGTGTTCTGCACAGTGTCCCTTGAGTAGGATGAAGAATACGGAGGGCGTTTCTTGCAATAAAAGAGGTGTAGCTGAATGTGAGCCAATGAGTTGCTTTGTGGTAAACGTGTTGCAAATTGACCCGAAACAGCGACTTTTGCTTCTTGGCACCGGTCAAGCAAGTCAAATAACAAGACGTGTGTGCGTACATTCTGGTACAAGTCCTTGACTCCAAGAGAAAATCGAAAAGAGAAAATGTGGTGCAAAGTTCCAGAATTGCCAACCCGGAAAACTCCTTGTTGACACATGCGATCAGGATGTTTAAAAAATGATTCTGAATATATTGCTTTTTACAAGGTCGGATATATCTGTACAGAGAGCGAAAATCGAAAAAAAAATTGCAAAAAATGACGAGAGATCGGTTTGTGTGAAGACTCTTCTACAAGCTCTTCTTGTCCTCTGCTGGAAGAACGTCGCCGTCGGTGGACATCCAGGCGCCGGTGTGAGCATCGGCGGGGCGAGAAGAAGAAGATGATGTAGCAGCTGTTGCTTGAGCTTTGGGTGCCACCGCTGCTGCTGGAGCAGGCTTGGGATTCATGCCAAAGCGGAAGAGCAGGTTGTGCGCAAAAATCTTTTGCCGAGCCTCCTTGTCGCGCACATTGGGCTTGACATGCTTGAGATAGCCGTCCCAGGCGACAGAGACGAGGCCGGCCTGTTTGCAGATGAGCTCCTTGACACGCGAGGCAAACTGGGTCGACGATTCGGTGGGCAGCTTGGTTTGCGGCTCCAGGAACCAGACGTCGGCGACAACGCACCAGGAGGTCATGAGACGGAAGAGATGCTGGGGGAAGGACTGAATGCGCGAGTTCCAGAAGGCATCAACGAAAATCTTGTTGTACTTGATGGCGATCGGAATGACGGTCGCGTTCAAATCAAACGCACCGCGCTTGAACATGACCACGTACTCGTTGTTGACACACGTGCCCTCCGGAAAGAGGAGAAGCGGCGGGTTGGTCGGGTCCTGAATGTGCTCGTGGAGATGGCTGGCGACAGTCGCGCGGTCCTTGGCAGCCATGCGGTCAAACCAGAGGTTGCGCATGCTCCCAAGCACGTACTTTTGACAGAAGGCAACGACGCCGACATGCTGCTGACCGACGATCGAATAGGGTCGTTCTTGCATGAGCACAATGACGTCGATGAGCGATGTGTGGTTGGCGACAAAAATTTGGTTGGCCCGACGGGGAGGTGGTGTCCCGTGGTACCGGATGACGGCGGTCCATGACATGGCTAGAATTGGGGGGGGGAGATGAGAGGCAAACACAAGCACGTAGGTGAGAAGACAGTTCAGCAAGGGCAAAATGAAAAAGAATAATTCAAGAAAGGAGAAGAATAAAAAAAGGGATGTCAGCGATCTTGGTGTAATTTTGTCGCGATTAACGCAAACTCTTCAGCGAAAGTCTCAGCCGAGTGGATCTCATCACGAAAAAAGAAGAAGAAGAAGAAAAAACAAATGCAAGAGTCAAAAAACTCAAACTTACCAAAAACCGTAGCAAGGAGCTGAACGCACTTTTGCTGATATCGCGAGCGCCGTGCCTCGGGCAAAAGAAAAGTCAACGGCATGACGAGCGCGAACAAGACAAAGCCCATTATCAAGCAAATGAGCTGAAAAGCAAAAACAGAAACGATGTGTGCAAGAGTGAGTAAAACGTTAGCAAACAATTCGGATGCCGCAACACACAGAATGCATCTCTCCAGAACATACTCGGATTGGGAAGAGAATAAAATAACGGAAAAAGACGCCAAGGTAGTAAATCGGAAAGAGGTAAAAGTTCCAGTTCCACGGATCGCGACGAGCCGACTCAAAGCACTTGGTAAAGTCGTCTTGGACGAGACACTGGACAGCATTTCGGGCAAGCGGGGCCAAGTCCAAAAAGCCAAATCTGCCAAAAGAGTCGAACGGGAAAGAGTGCAAGTTTCAGTCAGATTAGGACCACCACCACCACCACCACCACCACCATGAATGCAAAAAACGGCCTCCTTACTGAGTCTTGCGCTTGTAGGACGGGTTGTTCTCGCGCGTGAGTTGGAGGCGAAACTCTTCCGAGATGAGCTCCTCGTACTTGCGTTGGATGGCGTCCTTCTCCTCCGCGGCGGTGGGGCGCGAGAATGCGTCGCCAATGCCCCAGCTCGAGTTCTTGGCCATCTTCTCCTCCACAAAGTTGGACGGCGTGCGCACCTCCGACACGACGAGCTGCGGCTCGCTGTCTGCAAACTGGTGGAGCGAGGATTCGACGCGCGGAATGTACTGCAAGGGGGGATTGTCAAGCGCATCCAAGAGTGAGTGCAGGCTGCCACATTCAAGCAGGCTGCCACATTCAAGCTACAATGCAGAATAAATAAGCAGACAAAGAGCGAGAAGGAAACAAAGAAAAAAAAAAGCAAGATCGCGATCGCAGTAAAAAAAAGCCAGCGATCGTTCGTTTTCGACCGCGTGTATCAATTTCGACCGCGTGTATCAAACGAGAAGCGATGATGAAAGGCGAAGGAAAAGCACGAGCAACAGGATTGAAGAAGAAAGGCGACGAAGAGGAGAGCGACAGAAGAGAGAGACAGAAGAGAGAGACAGAGGGAAGAAGAGAGAAGAAGAGAGAAGAGAGGAAGGAAAACTCACCAAGCCGCCTGCTGGAGCGTCGACGAGAGCAGTCATGGTAGTGTTCGTGTTCGTGTTCGTGGTGGTTGAAGCAGGAGGAGTCGTTGTCGATGAAGACGACGAGACGGATGAGGCAGAGTCAGAGGCATCGCCAGGCGGCAGCAGCGTGGCAGACGACGCCCCGCGACTCATGTTCGTTTGAGCCAATGAAGGAACTGAACGAAGTGGAGTGAGCGTCCGTCCGTCGCCATTTCAGGAAGAGGAACAAACATAGCAAACATAAACATGGAAACAACAACAAGCTGAGAAATTGGGATGACATGATGCTGGAAGAAGTAAGGAAAATCACAATGCAAAAGGAGCCAAATCATAAAGGACCTCGCTCGCTCGCTCTCTCTCTCTGTTCGAACTGCGCCACTCCACCAAACCAAGGCTCGTTCTGCACACTTTTGCTGCATGCTTGAGTTAGGGGAAATTGCAAGTGGAATGATTTTGGCTCAGCCAGGGTTGGTCGTAGCGTTGTCTCAATGTTCCAACTGCCAATTTGCTCTGCGTCTCCTAGTGAGCACTTTTCGCATTGCGCATCTCTCAATTTCGCCCTACCAGTGCTCAGTCTAAATATCCTGTGCATTTTCAGCCTTCTTCACTTTTTTTTTTTTTTTTTCTCTCAGCAACCTCGGCTTCAGCCTTCATGCCACCCGGTCAGCTGCTGCAGCCGTCGCAGCGCTCGTCGCGTCCTCCCACGCGCCCGGGGCTGCCGCGCTTCCCACGCTGCATGAAGCACGATCCGGTTGGTCTCCTCGCGGTGGGCCTCGCGTACCTGATGCTGGGCTACGCGGGCTACGTGGCGACCTGGGTCATCATCCTGCCGTACCTCGACTACACGGTCGCCGGCCTCGTCAACCTCCTCGGTGAGACGTTCATTGCGCGCGTGGCTCCCCTTGATGCGATTTTGCTATGGAACGAGGGGCGAGATGGCTCAGCGAAAGTGGGGGGAGGATACGTCGTTGTTGTCGACAACGTTCATTCACTCACTCGCTTCGAAACCAATCGTCAATTGTAACAGCGTTCCATACATTGCTGCTGCTGGCGCTGGCGTCACATTTCCGCGCAATGACGTGCGATCCAGGCGTTATTCCACCGCCGCAGCTCGATCTCGACTTTTCAACTGGTAAAGTAAATTTCGTCCATCAACAACGGCGATCGTCAAAACTGCATCATTCAGAGCAGAGCACTCACTTGAATGATCAAAAAACACGTTCCATACAATTGTGATGGTATTGGTGGTGCAGTACACGAGCCGAGCATGACTGCGGCAGCTCGCACGCTGTGCAACAAGTGCCAAAACTACCGGCCTCCTCTCGCTCACCACTGCTCTACCTGCGGCTACTGCATTCGACGCATGGATCACCACTGCCCATGGTATGAGCCAGCACTTTTTTGTCAGAACGTTGGCGGTGTCGTGGATGTCTTACTTGTGGTGTTGGATTGTTTTGGTTTGCTTTTTGTTTGTTTGGTTTTGACAGGATTAACAACTGCGTGGGAGAATTCTCAGTCAAGTACTTTATGCTGTTTCTGACCTACGTCTGCATGCTCTGCCTATACTCTGCATGCCTATTACTCGCGACTTTGATATGGCAAAGGCAAGCCGAGCAACCCAACAACAACAACAACAACAACAACAACAACAACAACAACAACAACAACAACAAGCTCAGCAGCGACGACACTGTCGCCCTCATCCTCTTTGCCGTCGAAGTCGTCATCTTTTTCGTGTTTTGTCTGTACATGCTGTACGACACGATACAATCCACCATTCTCGGGACAACCAAGCTGGAAAACATGATTGCGGCACAGCAGGCGAACAATGCCGCCCTGTCGCTCGCTGCAACAGGTGCACTGCCCGCGTCCGCCTCTGCCATCCCTGGAAAGTCAATTGCTCCGGCTTTGGCGGGGCAACCGGGCCCTTCATCGTCGTCGTCGCCGTTGGCTTTGATGATTCCGCCACTGCTCCCCAATGCGGCAGGCTCGTCGGGGCGTGCAAGCGGTACCACCACCATCACCATTGCCGGGCCTGTCCGTTCTGTACAGCGCCGCGCTGCATTGCGCGCAAAGCTGGCCAACGTTTTCGGCTCCGAGCCCAGCTGGCGCTGGCTGAATCCCTTCCAGCCCTCGCAGAGTCACATTTCGTCGTCCTCTTATGACAAGCTGCTCACCGTGTAAATTGGGTCGGGGGTTTTGGTGGGGGCAGGTGGTCATTTTTCCGCTCGCTTTTGCAGCGTCCTCGCAAGTCGAGCTCTCCGTTAACTTTTTGACTGTTTGTTGCTTTAGTTTTTGTTGTTGTGATTGTTTTCGTGTGTGTTAGCGCACCATCAATAGTGTTATTTAATCATCTGTCGGACCTCCTATCCATCTCAACCTTTTTGCTCTAACATTTGTGCAGGACAGTACATTTCCACGCAGCTCTCTCCCTCTCCTCCCATTTGATGCATCTCCAAGTTCCAAAAATCCTCAGACAACAACAACAACCACCGCGTCCAAAGCCAAGACAACAATCTCCAAATCCCTCCACCCACCAATTTCTCTCTCAGTCCTTTTTGTCTCTTGGCTGTATTTTTTTTTTTTTTTTCCCAATGCACGCTGCTGCTGCTGCTGCTTCAGCACGCCTCGCACGTGGACTGGCAACGTCCTCGACAGCCGCTCTGCCGCGCCCAATCGCGCTCGATGCTGCGAACAACAGCACTGCTCCGACGATCGCGATGACGAGCGAGGCACAGGCACAGGCGCAGGCGCAGGCGCAGGCACAGGCGACGGGCGTCGAGCGGCGATCCTTCTCAACGTCAACGTCCGCAGCCAATGCAGGCCCAGCCAGCGCCGAGGCACCCCGCTCAGACGCATCGTCATCATCGTCATCATCGTCATCTGACACGAGCGCAAGTCACGCAGCAACACCAACTGCTGCTGCTGCTGCTGCTGCTGCTCCAGGAGGTCGAGAGCGATCGTTCTACCCGTCCTCATCCTCATCCGTCGCGGCTGCTCCAGTCGTACGCCGGGGGATCAGCGCCAATCGCTCGCTCTCAGTGCTGCAGTACGCAATGAACCGCGATTCGCTCAACCAGAGGCGCAGGGCCATCGCCGCCCCGCCGCCCATCATCACAGTCAAGCGCCGCATGTTCCCTCCGACCTCCCACCCGCTGCTCACCTCAGCCCCTGCTGCTGCTGCTGCTGCTACTTCTACTGCTACTACTCCTTTTGCTACTGCTGCTGCAGTGCCGCCATCGTCGTCACCACCCTTCAGCTCGGCGAAAGTGCTAAACATTCGCTCGCCGTACTCGCCCATGAACGTGACCCGTGTTTCTCAGCAAGACCCAAAGTTCCTGCAACAGGCGCGGCATGTCACCGAGTATCGTGCCAAGGTCGTGGATGGCGTCCGCCGAGGAGATTCAAGCCCTCGACCGGCAGGGAGAGACGTGGAGCTGGCCAAGTTGTTCGACAGCCACGGATCGCGCGACACGGCCCTCTTGATCTCCACACAAGCTCTGTACGGCCGCGACCAGCAGCGGCACTTTGACCCAAACCAGTTCTTCCAAGGCACAGGGCCGACAGACCCCGTCAACAAGGACATCTACTGCCCGAGCCCGGACACCTTCATTCCAAACACCAACTTTGGCGACTCGCCCAAGGACGTCGAAACAATGCGCTTGGCCGCCAAAGCTGCGTTCGACCAGCTTGGGCTCACCGAGGAAGCCATGGAAAACGAACAAGGCTTTGCGTATGCAAACGACGCCTCGCACCTGACGGCCAACGATGTGGCGCGCATTGAGACGGCGATTGGTTACAAGTTTAAAAACCCAGCGCTGCTCGCGACCGCGGTGCTGACGCCGATGGCCGCGAAGGTGGACATCGCCGACATGCCAGAGGGGTACAAGGATGATATTTGGCTCAGTGTACTGGGTGCCAGCTCCCACTGGTGGCCGGCGCGCTTCGTCACGCTGGCAGACACCACCTTCCTGACGTGGTGGGTGGGCTACGTCCATGCGCTCTTCCCCAGCCTGAGCCCAAACTGCTTGCATCGCCACAAAGAGTCCTTTGCGACGTTCCTTTCCACGTGCCTGATGCACCGCAGCGACATTGCCGTGGTCTTGCGCGACTTGGGCCGAAGGCGCATTCTGCCCAGCATGGCTGGCGAAATCAGCCACTCACAGCTGCTTTCGAGCTTCTCGCCCAAGAACAGGGAGCGATCAGACGAGGATGCACACTCAACCCCGCCCGCCTTCTCTGTGAACGTCGCCGCCTTCACCAGCCCCGCACCCGGCGCAACAACATACTCGACCCACAATCCCATCCTGACGAACGACCGGCAGGTGCTGCTTGGCAATGCCCATGGCTCTGAGCTGGTGATGAGCGTCTTGGGTGCTGTCATTGCCGACAATGGCTCGCCCACACCGGCGCTCGAGCATCTCTTCCGACTCATCTTCCCGCAGCCGTCCTTGGAATCGGCCCGCCAGCTGCTGGCCAATCCGCCCAGCCGCAATCGTCTCTTCTTCCTGCCGTCCTCTCGCATGGGCGAGTCCATCACCATGGGCGGTGTCTTCCGCTACACGCGCGACATTGCAGCCGGCCTGTGGCCTGCCGCGCACTACATGACCCCGAGCATGCTGGCGGCCTTCCTCAAGACGGGCGCGTACGACTCCGGTCGAAGCTTGTATCGCACCACACCCGACCACCCCTGGTTTGAAAAGCTGCGTGAGGTGGAGGCGATTCTCGGGGTTCGATTCAACGAACCGGCGTGGCTGGCGATGGCCTTGACGGCAGACAACTCACACCCCGCCATTCTGCCCGTCTCCAAGACCTACCAAGGCCTGGATTTTGTCGGCGACACTGTTCTCAAGTACTCGGTGCAAAAGTTCTTGATGCATTGGTCGCCAGCCGACGTCAAGCGTGTTTACGGCGTGGACATGACCAAGACGACCGGGCGGTTCTTGACTGGACACCACAACCAGCCTGTGCCTGTCCTGTTCGAGTATCTGCAGGGCATTATTATCAACAATCTCCATCTCACCGAGGTGTTTGGCTCGCTTGGTCTGCACAAGTATGTGATTGGCTACCGATTCCACCAAAAAGTATTGGCGGACTTGCTCGAAGCGATCATTGGTGCCATTTTTGTCGACCAAGGCCTCGATGCGGTCCAGGACTTTGTGATTCGCCACGTCATTCTTCACCTGTGGCGGAATAACTATATGCTGTAGGCATCTCAACAAAAAGCAACGAAAAATACAGGCAGACATTCTGTTTCGCTTTTTTTTTTATGGGCAGGGCAGAAGGAAGGGCAAATTTCCACAAGGGATTGATTATTCAGACAATAATGTTGTACAAAACAAGCAAAGCCACGCAGGTTACCGCCTTGCTGGGGATGGAGTGCGTGAGCGATTCCGAGAGCGATCGTCATTTCGGTCGGACGATGGTGGCCGCGGCCCATCACGGGACGCATGTTTGTCGTGGTGGGAATGGCGATGCTCGCGCCTTGTTGGAGAGCGCGATCGTGAGCGGCGTCTGCGTCGTGGAGACGGTGACCGCGACCGTGAGCGATGTGACGAGGAGCGGTGACGACGTTCGGGGGACCTGGAGCGGTGCCGCGGAGGAGACCGAGATCGCGACGAGCGGCGATGATGATGATGATGATGATGATGATGCGAGCTTTGATGAGAATCGCTCCGTCGGGGCGATCGGGATGGCGAACGCGAGCGGCGTCGGCTGGATTTTGACTTGCTGTGAGCACCGTTTTTGTCGGTTTTTGTGCTTGGTGGTGCAGGCGCAACCACGGGTGCATGCATTGCAATGACGTCCAGAATGGACTTTGAGCAGGGTGAAGAACCAGCGAACGAAAAAGTGTACAAAGTGTAGGAGTGAGTTGAAATCGCCCCGCTTCATAACTACTCGTCGCCGTCGTCGCCATTCAATCCCAATTTCCTCCCCAACAAAAGCAACAGCACTTGCTTTTTCAAAGTCCTTCCAATCTCTGCTTGACACTGAATCTCAGAAGACCGGCTCAGCTTTTACCTTTCCCTCCGGAATGACTGTCTTGATGCCAAGGACGCTCGCCAGCGCCTCGGCCTCCTGTGCCTTGATGCGCGCAATCTCCTCGCGTGCAGCCGCAGATGCCTCTGCAGACCCAGGCGCAGCTGCCGTGCCTGCCTTCGTGTACCTACATGCAAAAACGTCGTTTCAGTGTCGTGTTTCGAGCCTCAAAAGCGTCCGTCTCCAGACGCTTGATGCACGACGAGCCAGAGGCATTCCCTATCATCCATCACACAAGTCGCATTACCAGTTGAAATCGCGGTTCTTGGCCCAGCGACCCGACGGCGCCATCAGCGAATTGCCTATCGTCAATGCAAAAGCCCATTGAACGCTCAAGTCATTCCCCATCAACCTCACTGCAAGAAAGTCGCCCCCTTTCAAAGCCATACCGAGATAAGCTTCCTTGTCTTTGGCATTCTTAATGTCGTCCCATTTGAACTGGTCTTTGCCGCCGCGACAGCCGCCTCGAATCGGTCCGTTAAACATTGTTCGCGCTGCGTTTCTGAGACTGAACTGTCAACAAAACAACAAAAATGGGAAGAGAGGCTGAACTTTGGAACGCATATAATAAACACAATGGCTACTGCAGACTGGCGTTTTTGCACACAGCGTACAATAGCAAAACCTAAACGACTCGGGGGGAAAATAAAACAAAACGCAAACCAACTAAACAAACTCAACGCTGCTTGCGACGGTTGGTCAACCGCAGCAGAGCATAGGCAATGACACGAAGCGCAGCTCCAAGGACAAACATCATGAGGACATTGGTGGACAGGCGGCCAAGCGTGTAGCCATATCGGAGATCGGCAAACTGCTCAAGACCAGAGCCGTACGCCTGCTGCACGGGGAATGCCTGGCCGCCGGCAAGCACCACCGTGTTAATGACAGAGTGTGGTCCAGAGGATATGTCAGCCGTTTCCACCGCAAACACGGCTTCGCCAAACCAGCGAGGGAAGGAAATGATGCCAAAGAATCCAAGCTGACGCAAAAAAAAAAGAAAAAAAAAGCAACAGAACAATGGAAAACTCATCAGCGACCACCATCATGGAAGCAAAAAGGCCAGCAAGAAACAAAACCTAGCATACCTTTTCTGTGGAAAAGACAAAGCCGGTTGTCAGAGACCAAATGATGCCCAGCATGACAGCCGTGAAACCAGAGTTTTGCCGCGAAAGGACTATCGATGTTATGTATCCAAGCGACGACATGCACCAAATCACAGCCAGGACAACTTGGAAGTAGCCGTTGAAGGATCCGAAAGGCGCCGCAACCAGCATGAAGGTCGCCAAAAAGCTCCAGGTGAAGAACAGAAACTTGGCAAAGTCCACGACACACTTGCCAATAAAGTAGGCCAATGTGTTGATACCGGACGAAGCTGACAAGCAACAAAAAACAAAACCCAAAAACCAAAAAAACAATGAGCTTCAATGGGATTCCCACGAAAAGCAAATCACAAGCGACACTCACCATCGCGCCAGTACACAATCCGCTCATCACCAAACGTGCGCACGCTCACTGCTGTGGCCATGACACCGATGCCCATGCACATGTAAATGCCCATGAGACCAATGTTTTCTTCGGAGGGCGAGCAGTTGGAGCACCAGTTGCGAAAGTTCTCCCCGCCTTGCGGGGTTGCAGACACCAAACCATTCACGAGCTGGGACAGGGTGTTGGGACAATAGTTGCTGACCGCCGTGGGGATGGGCAGCACGTACTTGGGATCCAAAAAGCTGAGACCAATGTAGACGCCAGTGAAGGCAAAGAGGAAGTTGTCCAGCAGGAACCGTCCAACGGCATGCCGGGTCTGGAGGATGGACCGGTAGGCAAAAAGAACGAGCTGCGTTGGGAAGGCGGCCGTCGTGCGGTGGATGGGCTCGTTCCATTTGAGCAGCTTGGAGAGAGACCGAACTCGCGAAAAGGAGCTCGACCGCTCGGACAGCACCGGGGCTGTAACTTCAGGCTCGCGCTTTTGCCATTCCTTGTGCAGGTCCTCTGGAGCGACAGACAGCTGCTGGTCATCAGCAGTCGTTGTTGCTCCTCCAACGGCACGGCGGGAAACATGGCCCGACAAGACATCCATCAGATAGTCTGGCGCGGACGTGTTGCCAACGGCCGCAAAGCCAATTTCGTGGAAGTAGCCGAGCGCGCCGGCAGTCGGGCCGTGGTAGGCCACCATGCCTCCCTTCGCCAAGAGCATGATTGAGTGGAACATGTTGAAAATTTCGACGCGGGGCTGGTGGATGACGGCAATGACGTTGATGCCAGAGGCCGCAATTGTCTGGAGTGCAGAGGTCACCTCCTCGGCGCTCGAGCTGTCCAAGCCGGAGGTGGGCTCGTCAAGGAAGATGCACGCCGTTTCGGCGACAAGCTCCATGCCAATGTTCACGCGCTTGCGCTGACCGCCAGAGACGCCGCGGCGTAGCTCGTCGCCAATGCGCGATTGACGGACCTCTGTCAAGCCGAGAGTAGCAATGACACCGTCCACGCGACGGGCAATCTCGGCGCGGGAGAGCTCGGCGGGCAAACGAACGCGCGCGCTGTGGGTGAGCAGCTCTTCGACAGTGAGCTCGCGCAGCATAATGTCGTCCTGAGGAACAAAGCCCATGACCTTCTTGTACTGCTCAATCTCGCCTTTCTGTCCGTTAATGTACAGGTGGCCAGAGGTTCGCTTGGCCTTGCCGCACAGAACGTTCAGCAAGCTGGTCTTTCCCGCACCGGAAGGACCCATGATGGCGGTGAGTCGACCATGCAGGAACTCGCCAGAGACCTCGCGCAGAATGACTTGCTCGGTGACTTTGCGTCGAATGATGCCAGACTTTCGGCGGATGGTCAAGCCAAGCTTGTCAAAGCGAATGTCGATCTTGGCGGCCGAAGCGAACGCCGGCTGTCGTTGTTGCTGCTGCTGTTGCTGCTGCTCGGAGCCGGTGGTCGTGGCGGTGATGGTGCGCGTTCTGGAGGGACGGACGGCAACAGAGTACGAGTCTCGTCCAGCGTCCGCTGCATCGGCATCGATGGATTGACGCTCGGCATCATCGGCTTTCGCGTTGAAGACGGTCATGCCGATGGCGCCTTTCGCGAGCTCGTCCGTGACGGCTGCGAGCGCGAGGTCGTCGGTTTCGCGAACAGTGCTGTTCGAGTTGGGAGCAGAAGGCGGAGCGCGAGACTGGACAAGAGCAAGAGCAGGATTGGTCTGAGCCGTGGTGCTGCCGAGTCTGGGCAGCATGGTGGCGGTCGACGTGACTGGCAGCGACTTGACTGCGCGCTTTCGCTGCCGCGCGTTGAGCCAGTGCATGATGACGGCGAGCACGATGAGAACGAGCGCCATCCCGAGAAATCCGCCCAAAAAGGCCTGCTTTTCCGATCCTTCGGGGCAGACGGAGGTCGAGTAGCACGCGCGAGCGTACGTGGATCCTGCCGGGCAATAGTGGCCACTTGGGCATACGACCGGGTACGTGTCACCGGTTGCCTTGCAGTAGTAGCCAGCTGGGCAGAGCAGGCAGCTTGGGTAGCGCTCGTCGCGCGCAGGCGTGTAGCCAGGCGGGCAGAACGCGACGGGGACCTGGACCTGCTGGCACATTCTGCAGACCTCGTTCGTCGGGAGCACTGCTGGTCTGCAGACGGTGCCTGTCGGGGGACTCGTCACGTAGCCGCTCCACGAGTAGAAGAGGTTTGGGTCGAGCGGCGGGCAGACCGGGTCGCCCATCGCCGTGGTCGTCAGCATCGCCGCGGTCACCGCAGCGACGAGCATCATCAGCGTCGTGCGTGGTGATGCCATCATGTCGTGTCAGTTTTCAGGCAGGGGCAGGGGCAGGCCGTGTATCTCGACTTCAGGTTTTTGTTTGTTTTGACTACGAATTTGGGCGAGACAGCAACTACTGGCGATTGGCTCTGTCACAAAACGAGGGGAGGGGGGTTATCTGAGAGAGTCTGATTCAAGAGTTGGAGTGAGTGAGTGAGTGAGTAAAGAAGGGCTGGAAACGACTGTTGTTTGGCTTTGCGGTGAAGAAATGAAAACAACACTACAAAGTAACAACAATACTAACAATCTGAATCAGAATACAAAATGAAGACTAAAAAAACCACAAAACGAGCTGATTTTGGGGAGCGAATGCAACATCATCATCATCATCATCATCAAAAAGAGAATGATGACCGAGTCAAGCAAATGGGAGGCGGAAGGAAGTGGACAAAGTGGAACGAGAGGGAAAACAAGGAGTTTCAGGTTCAAAACACAGCGCAAATGCAGAATGGTTGGAATGAACAACAGCCGAGGCATCAGGCGTTTTGCTTTCCGTTGTTGCTTGTGAGGACTGCCGACGTGGTCGAATTCCGCAAAAACCGGCTCGTGCGCGGGGGGAAAAAAGCAGCGGGCGGACGAAACGAGCGCAATGTTCCGCCGGCAGTTTGAGCGAACGTTCCGCAAGCGATGAAAATAGCGCCCTGCGGCTGGCATTGTTGGAGAGTTGAGCCAGAGATAGAGAGAGAAAGAGACAGAGAGAGAGAGAGAAGAGAGTGGATGCCAAATGGTCGGCGCCTTCGAGATGTCATTCAAAGTAAACACTTCAAGAGTGGTGGAATTGAGCGAGTGAGAACAAGGACGAGAGCGGCGGCGGGTTCAGTCAATGCGAAAAAGACAAACCGCCGATTTTTCCCTCTTCCCTCTTCAACTCTTCAACTCTTCAACTCTTCCCTTCTTCCACTTTGCTACTCGTGTCTTGCTGTTCAATTTCCCCTCCAAAGCACCACCACTTTCTATGCTCACTTTGAGCTTTTGTTTGATGCTTTTGTGTACTTATTTTTGAGCTTGTCGACGTGGTCAGTCTTTTTTCTTGTTGTGTGGTGTGATTGTTCAGTCAGTTCAGTTCAGTTCAAATCTTCTTCATCTCTTCTCTTCATCTTCTCTTCTTCTTCTTCATCTCTTCATCTCTTCTCTGTCTCATCCTTCTGTTTCTTCTTCTTCGGCTGTTCTTTCTTTCTCTTCTTTCTGCTTTCAATTCTGCATCGCAACAAGAGAACAAAAATCACAAAAATCAAAAAAAAAAAAAAAAAAATCCCATTCCGATTTTCAATCAAAAAACAACAACAAACAAAACAAAAACAAAACAAAAGCCACAAAAACATGTCGAACGATGAACATCCGCGATCACGACGAAGCGCAGGAACAAGCATAGGAACAGGAACAGGAACAAGCATAGGAACAGGATCAAGCATAGGACCAGGAACAGGAACAGGATCAAGACGAAGCACAGGAACAGGCGCAGGCGTGCTGCTGGGGCTTGCGGTACTCTTGTCGCTCTCGATGCTCAACGGTGCGAACGCGGCTGCCCCTCCGTGCAACACAACGCTGCTCGACAACCTCAACCTCGCCAACCTCGCTGCAAGGGACTGCCTCGCAACCGCAGCAAATGCATCGGCGACAGGCAGCGCTGCACTGTGCGCGCCGCTCGCTCCAGGGCCGTACTGCGCGTGCTCCCGTTGCCAGACAGACTTTGACCAGCTCTTCACGGCGTACCAGGCAGTCCACACGAGCACCAATGCGCGCGAGTGTGCAGAGGAACTCGCAGACCCAGACACGGCGCTCGCCATTGGCCAGATCACCGTCGTGCTCCAGCGGTGGCCCTGCTTTGTCGCAAAGACGGACTGCTCAGATCCAGTCAACGCACCGTTGTGCGCACCGCAGACTGGATCCGCGCTCGCGGCCATCCCCGCCGCAGGTCAGGCAACGCTCGACCTGTGCTTGAACGCAATCGAGGCCAGCTGCACCACGACGCCCGATCTGCCGTACTGCCAGAACTGCCTCAACGGTGTCTGCTACGCCTCATCCACAAACACGTCAGCCAGTCCAGACGGTTTCATCTCGCTGTTTGATGTCATGTGCAACCCGACGGGGCCGTTCGCCGCCCAGATGGTCGACGGGCTGGCAGGCTCGCTCAACCAGCCCTACTCTGTCGATTTGTGGAGCATCGAGTACAACTCTGTTTCGCACGTCTACACCACCTCCGATCCAGTCAACCTGATTTCGTCGTATCCTGCGTGGAGCAAGCCGCCTGTCGTTTTCAGCCACACCAACTGCACACCCAACCCTTCTGTCGTCCAGCATGTCGGCAGCACCGCCATCTGCAAACCGGGCCTCAGCTGCCAGACATACGATGGCCACATCTCCTCGATCGTCTTTTGCCCGTCCGGCCACTTTTGTCCCGACCCGATGCAGCCACCCCAAGAGTGCCCGGCGGGTTACTTTTGCCCCGAGGCCATCGTCTCGCCCATCAAGTGCGGCCCGCTCGATCAGTGCCCGAAGGGCGCCAAAAATCACATTCCTGTGATTGGCCTGCTGGTGCTGGGCATTCTGACTCCCGTGTTTGTTGCGTTGCACTTTATCCTGCGCGCGCTCGAGCGCCGGCGCTACCGCCAGTATGCTCGCGACCTCCACTCGACCAGCAAAGACCGCCGCGGTGCGCTCGTCCTTGCTCCGCTCCCTTCGCGCATGGACATTACCTTCTCCGACATCAAGGTCGTCATCCGCAAGGCCTCTGCCGGCTCCAGATTGAGCAAGCTGATGCAGCAAATCCGCCAGACAGACCAAGCAGTCACTGCCGGCAAGACAATCATGAACAACGTCTCTGGCGCCTTCCGGGCCAATCGCGTCACGGCCATCATGGGAGGCTCGGGCGCGGGCAAGTCCACCCTCATCAATGCAGTCATGGGCAAAATCAAGCGCGCTGGTGGCCAGGTCTGCATCAACGGCGTCGAGGCCGAGCCTTCGCGCTACCGCAACATTACCGGCTACACACCTCAGGAGGACGTCATGCTGACCATGCTCACGGTGGGCGAGATTCTCACCCACTCGGCCCGCCTTCGTCTGCCGCGCGAATGGACGAACGCGCAAATCAACCAACACATTGACGCCGTCATTAGCATTTTGGGCCTCGCCGAGGTCCGCAACTCGCGCATCGGCGATGAAGTCAAGCGCGGAGTGTCGGGTGGTCAGCGCAAGCGTGTCAACATTGCCATGGAACTGGTTGCCAACCCGTCGCTGCTCGTGTTGGACGAGCCCACCACCGGCCTGGACGCGACCAGCGCTTGGGAAGTCGTCAAGTGCTTGAAGGCCATTGCCAACGCCGGCCGCACGGTGGTTGCCGTCATCCACCAGCCTCGTTTCGAGGTCTTTGCTCTCTTTGATGATCTGCTGATGCTGAGCAAGGGCGGATTTACTGCCTACAACGGACCCACGTCCGAGATTGCCGGCTACTTTGGCTCGATCGGCTTCCCAGTCCCGGCCACGGGCAATCCCGCCGACTTTTACTTGGACGTGCTCGCTGGCAAGATTCCGCGCCAGGGCGACCCCGCCTTCCACCCAACTCACATGGCCGAACTGTGGAAGCAGAACGGCGGCATGCTCGAGCGGCTGTCGGCAAACCTGGCCGACTCTGCCCAGCACCAGCTGGAGATTGCCTCGACCGATGCGGCCTTGGACCAGGTGGACACGCTTGTGGTCGAGATGCATCGAAATGCAAGTGCTGCTGGATTGTCTGTTGTGCCGAGCGATGCAACTCCTTCCGCCACCACCACCAGCACCACCACCACCACCAGCACCCCAAGCAGCAATGCCCTTGTCCCTGCGCCAACCCAAAACCACGCGTCTCAAGCGACAAGCCAGAAGAGCATGCCTGAAAAGCGCGTTTCCCCTTCGGCCCTCACGCAGTTCTGGGTCTTTTTCGGTCGAGCTCTGCTTCAGCGTTTCCGAACACCAGCCGGAACCATCTTGTTTGTTGGCATTCACATTCTCTCCGCCGCGGCTTTGGGCGCTGGCTTTATGCAGGGCACACGCTTGTACCTTCCGCCCCTGCCCGACTTTGTCTCTGAGTTTTGCCCTCCCGCCATCCAGCACTATTGCCGCGCATTCCCAATCTTCAACCTGGGTTTGTTCTCGTCATCCTTCTTCTTGTCTGTCGCCCTCGGCAGCTCGTCCATCATTATCGCCGTGTTCAATTTCGGCGACGAGCGTGCCGTCTGCTGGCGTGAAGCCAGCTGGGGCACCAACCGAGCGGCATACACGGTCGCAAAGTATCTCGCCGAACTGCCCTGGATGTTTGCCGCGTCGTTTGCGTTTGCTTCGGTGCTGTCGCCCATGCTGCGACCCATCACGAGCTTTGGTGATTTGCTCGTCATTATTTTCATGACGCAGTTCGCCGCATTTGGGCTCGGCTACATTATCTCGATTATTGTTTCTCGCGAGTCCTCCATGGTTGTTGGCACGGTCGCGGTCTTTGCCTTCTCCGTGTGCTCGGGCTTGTCTCCCCGACTGGCGCAGATTCGTGACTCGTACAGCGTCGCGCGCATCATCTGGGACGTGTCCTTCCCCCGATATGCTGCGGAGGCACTCTACATTTCCGAGGCCAAGGCCTACACGGACGAAGAGTCCATCTTCCGCGCCCCCGTGTTGCGTTCCCTGGATTTCCTCGGATACCGTGTGGACAATGTTCCGTTCGATCTCGGCATGCTCTGTGTGCTTGGAGTTGGCTTCCGGCTCATCGCCTATCTGCTGCTGGTGTTTTGGAATCGTCGCAAGCAGCAGTGAGCGGAAGGTGCTTTGTTGGTTTGTTTTTTTGTCGTCCGATTGATGTGGTTTCATATGACCGTTCGAGCTGCGTACAGTATATCGTTGCCGCTCTTTGTAACAATACAAGCAAATACAATCAAAACGTAGAGGAACTGTGCAAATTATTCTTTCAACAACGGACAAGCAGGCACGATAAAGTTTGAGCAGCAAAAGGAAGCAAAGAGAGAGAAAAAAACCACAAGAAGCAAAAACAAAACAAGGTCAAACTAACAATAACAAGGCAGAATGGTAGGGGACAAACAAACCGAAACGCTAAATCAGGCAAAGAGACCGCGAAGGCACGAAAAACCAACGAGATATTAGACAAACGTCTCTTGGTGGTCGTCGCCTTGGAAGAGCCGGCTGAAGCGATTCATGGCATTTGAGGCAAAAGCAAGAATTCGGCTGCCCGAGCCCTCTGCGTCCTCGGCACTCGCAGCAGCAGTTTGCGGTGTCGGTGGCATATCTGCGTGCTGCTGCTGACTGGATTGTAGTGGGTGGCTGAACGAAGCCTCACTGTCATTTCCCACGGTAACAGTCAACTCGCCGACAACCGAGTCGAGGCTCTCGCGCGAAGCGAGCTGCGAGTTGGGGGTTTCGGTGGCTTTCTTGGAATCGTCGACCCTGACAATGAGCACTGCCGGCTCTGCTTCATTTGCGACGACAGCAGCAGTGGGAGGTGGTGTTTCCGGCAACTTGCTAGCAGCACTGGGTGAGGGAAGAGCGGGAGTAGAGGTAGTAGTGGCAGCAACGGCAGCAGCAGCAGCGGCGGCGGCGGTCGGGACAACGGGAGGAGCGGCAGCAGGAGCGGCAGTCGAATCGCTAGTAGCAGCAGGGATGGAGTTGGCTGAAATACCAGGGCGGACACCGCCGTCAATCATCATGCCGCTGGTCGACGCTTCCAGCGCTTCCACAATCGGAACTGAGCGTAACCGCACACCAGAGACCAGCTCCATGTCCTTTTGTTGCAATGAATAAACCAACAAACAAACAATCATCAAAACAGAGTGAAAAAGTTAAAACCAAAACAGAGATAACTCAACCTCAAACCGCAAAAAAATCGACGTGTGCAAGCTCACTCACCTCGGTTTCTTCTTCACCTTCGCGGCGTTGATTCGGCACCAGCTGAGCGACGCGAATCTGCAAAAGCGAGTGGAACGCTGTCGTTCACACACACACAGAACGACACGGAAACAAAGACGTCAGCCATGAATTGTGCTTCAAGATGCATCACACCATTCCAGGAACGTACGAGCTCGGCAAATCGGGCACTTGTTCGATTGATAGCGCAGGACTTCGGCACAAGGGTTGCAGAGACACAAGTGACGACACGGGAGAACAACAGTGTCGCGCGAGTCAGCCATGCACACGACGCACTCGGTGTTGCCGCTGAGCGCGCTCTCCTCGTTGGTCGCCGAAGCTGAAGGTTGATTGCTCGTTTTTTGCTCAATACCATACACTTCTTGCATCATGTAGGCAATGCCATCGACAACGACCTTCTGCTTGAGCGGCTTGATGGAAAAGTTGGTCGCGTCCGCCGCAACGTCAAACGAGGCAATGGTCGCCTGCGACTGCGTTTTGCTGGTGCGTTGAATCTCGCTGGGTGATGCGTGGCTGGAGGAGGGTTGGCTGGCTGAGGCGGACGCAGAGGTCGATGCGTCGCGGGCACTGTCGGGGCTTTGTGGCAAGGTGGCTGGCGGGCTGGGAACCTCGAGCTGCACGACAAGCGGGTAGCGGGAATAGTCTTCGCTCAGGGAGAGGAAGTCGGGGTTGGCACTGGCCAGATCAATCACAAACTCTGAATGCTGAAACTGCTGGTCGAGGCCCTTGGGGTAGAAGAATGAAGGAGACGTGTGTTCCGGCGAGGCTGACTTGAATCTGTGGATGAGCCAGCCAAGCGCAGTGAGTTTGATGAGGTTGTGTCGAGTCAAAGAAAAACCAAGCAACACGACCAAAAAAAAAAAGTAAAAAAATTCGCAGCCATTCCGTACGTGACAACGCCCTTTGCGTCGCAGAATTCCTTGGCAAACAGGTGGATGGTCACAAAGCAGTCCGAGTCCGAGTCGAACATGAACTCGATGCTGTAGCGGCCCGGCTGTGCGTCCGGCGTTTTGACGAGCTGCAGGCAAAGTATCGATCAACATGAGGTGAGCCAACCGAGGTATAATTTTTGTGTGAGTTATTCTTTTGGGTGTGTGTGTGTGTGTGTGTGAGTTGTTTGAGCGAGGTATGGTTGTGATATTCAGAGTGCACAGAGTTGACAGGACGCAAACAATCCGTGGGAAAATCTGGTCGTTTTTGGTGTAAATGTGCAACAGTAAAAGTCAAATTGCAGCAAGGTGTGGATGCGCTGTACCTTGAGCGAGTCCTTGCGGAGGTTGACGTGGCTGCGGATGGTGGTCGTGTGGCGCATGTTGACTGGCGGCTGGTGGTAGAGCGCGCCGAGGTGGCTGGTTGTGAGAAAGTTGAGGTCGTTGAGGTTGCCAAACAGGTACGCCTCGGGCTCGAGCGCCGCAAACCGCTGTCCGCCCATCGAGAACTGCGACCCAAAGTACATGCCTTTTGAAAACAGCGAATCAGCGAAATCACACACAAAGAAAGGGGAGCAGGAGAAACGGGGGGTCATAAACTTGGTGAGTAAGGTCATCATCATCAGCTTCTAGATCACAATATCCAGTAGTGCCTTGTCTCACTGTCACAACCACAAAGCCTGTGTTCATTCCTCGCTCAAACCTCCCCCCCCCCACACCCCCATCCCGAAGCGCGCCAACCCTACCGTTGGACGGAGGGTAGCGATACGCAACCGCACGCTGCCGACCGCCGTCGTCGCCCAGCACGGCCGCCGCGTCGCCGCCCGCTGGGGAGGTCGCTCCTGCCCCAGTGTCGCGCGAGTGCATGGCAATGTCGGCAGAGTGCTCGGCGTCCCCAGCGTCCGACCCGCGGCCTGTGGAGAATGCGCTGCCCATGATTCGAAGAAGCAAAGAACGAAAGGAAAAACCAAAAAAAAAAAAGGAATGATTTGGAACCGCTTTGAATGAGGCGCTACTTTTGCTTCACCAGGTCCGGTCGTGCGGAAGCCTGAATCCATTTTGCACGTCCCAGTATTGTACTCACCAGGTTGAGGATGGTCTACTGTCAACGCTGGAGGGGATTTTCAGTAATCATCGCTGATTTTCGCCTCAACTCTCGTGAATCCGCGGTCAGCTTTCGTGCTCATCAAGTGGAAGCAGACAACTGGCAAGATGCAAGGGAAGTGGTAGAGTTGAATGGACGACGTCGACAACAAAGAAAAAGAAATCAAAGTAAAACGTTGTAATAATCGCAACAAAGCAAGTACAACAGGGCAGGCAAAGGCGGAAAGGGAACGCTCCAAAAACAGACACCCGCTTGTTTGGGCGCATCTACAGGAAGGGCTCGATGGTAATCTCAAGGCACGAGACGGGGTTGGGGAGCGCAAAGGCCGAAAGCACCTCAGGATGGAGCACGCCGATCGAGCCAATCTTGCGGCCGTTAGCGAAAATATCGGCAGCCTGGCCAGGGAAGTACATCGAGTCTACGAGCAAAAGAGGAAATGTCAAAACGGAGAGGTGGGGAGCGCAAGTCAGCATCGAAATTCAAGCTGCAACAATTTCAAAAAAATCCTTCCTGCGTACCAGCGGAAGACTGCAGACTGTAGCCCTTGTCACCGCCAGCAACGTTGAACGGCACCTCGAGCACGGTCATGACACGATCAAGAACACCGTGGACAATCTGACACGGGGGGGTGGGCAAACAAAAAAAGCAGTCAGCACACGTATTCGAGACAACCTCTAGCTTCTCAAGCTGTGCGTGCGCTTTCATACCTCGAACTGAGAGGCAATGTTCGAGTAAAGCACGGCCAGCCGCCTTTCGTTGCGAGCGCCCGTATCGGAGGCGGTGTCCTTGAGAACAACGTCCGAAATCTCAAACACGCGCATCGGCAGCGGCACGTTCAGGTTTGAATGGAGCGTCTTGAGCAAGCCGGGCATCAAGCTGGTGCGGCACACTTGGAACTCGACCGACTGGGGATTGGCCAGCACGACGGCAGAGTTATCGTCTTGGTGGCGCATGTTTGAAAAGTTCTCGGCATGCGAGCACTAGACCGAAGATGGATGGTTGAATCACAAGACAATAATCATCCAGGAAGAAAAAAAAAAAGAAAGAGTGAGCACACGGAATACTGTCCGCAATGTGAAAACCCAGACAACACGCGCAACCAGGCTCCGAATACGCACCAGCGAGAAGGTCAAAACCTCGGTAAAGCCAGCCATGGCCATCTCGAGGCGCAAAAGATCAGTGAGCTTGTTGACGGGGAGCTGGTGAGCGACAGTGCTGGTTGCAGGGACAGTCCACTCGAGGTTGTTGAAGCCGTAGCCGACCGCCACATCTTCCATAATGTCGCAGGCGTGGATGACGTCCGAGCGGGTCGGGGGAATATCAACAACGACAGACTTTCCGTCAGCCGAGACAGTCGCTGGGAGACACATGCGGCTGAGCAACTTGGCAACCTGCTCGGGTGTTTGCTTGATGCCGACGCGCTTTGTAATCCACTCGACCTCGACGGTTTCCGTGCGGTATGCGAGCTTGGGGGTGATCTCGGAGGTGCCATCAGCGTGCACAATTTCGACAGGCTCGATGCTGCCGCGACGCGAGAAAAAACAATGAAAAAGTGAGTCGGCTCGCAATGATAAACCAAAACGCTCAACCTCAAGAATAACAACAGAAAACAGAAAACGCCATGCTGCTTACACGAAGGGCTTGGCGCAATGTTGGGAGAACATGGTCACCATGATTTCAAGCACAATCAATGCCTTGGTGCGATCGGTGGCAGTGCACTCGATAAAGACATTGCGCGTGTTGAGGCTGATCTTGGAGTGGTCGCCGTTGATGATTGGGGGCACGGAAAGCACAACATTCTTGGCGTCGTAGATGACAGGGTAGCGTGGCTTATCGCGGATGATTGGCAAGAACTCGCGCAAGTGAGAGTCCTGCAGAACAAGAAGAAAGAAGAAAAGAAAACAAATCAGCGAAAAAAAAAAGCGAGCAAATGGAGCAGGCGTTTCCATCAAAGTCAGAAAACAGGTTTGGGGAAAAGCTTCAATTGCAAGAGCTGCCAACTCGTACGCACCTCGTAGAGCTTCATCATACTTGCGCCAGTGTGCTTCTCGGTTTGGTTGAGCGGGACAAAGGAGATCTCTTCGGGCTTGAGGGCCTTGTAGGCGAACGGTCCCTGGATTGTGTCGAGATCATGTGTGCCGATGGCGACAAGTGTTCGCTTGCGGCAAATGTTCTGGTGTAGCTTGTCCTGGAGCTCGATGAAGCGCTGGTACATGGCAGCATCGAACGTGATGTCGCGCAGGACGGCGGCGACAACGAACGGGCGGACCTCTGCAACCTACATCCGGGGGAAAAGGCACGAACGGAATGGGTTGGGCAAGTGCAAGCGGAGTGTGTCGAGTAAGGATGAGAATACGGAGCGAGACAACAAACAAAACGCGGACAACGAGCGAGAAGAGCACAAGAACAGCCTACCTCCTTGTGGACGACGAGGCGGTGGACGGGCTTGCCAGAGAGCGTGTACTTTGGCGGGGCAGTCTGCTGGACAAAGACACGCAGGGCACGGCCGAGACCTTCGAGGCACAGCAGGTCGTAGCGGTTTGCGGGGATTTCGACGCGGTAGACGACCTCCTCGTCCTTGGCGTTTGCGCCTGGGTTTTTGACGGACTTGTCGCCCTGGCCCTTTGCCTTGGCGTCGACCTTGACCTCAGTGGTGACTACGGAGCAAGCAAGTTGAGTGAGAGAGTGAGAGAGAATGCATTGGCATTGAATCGCATTGCATTGCATTCGTCATTGATTGATTGCGTACCTTCGTCGAGCTCGATGCCAAACTCAAAGCAGAGTTCTATCCATCAACAAACAACAAACCGCAAAGTGAGAATGAGCAAGCATCAGGACCAAGTCACAAGTGGAGTGAGTGAATGAGACACGATTGCATCAACGCGCAGAGTGCAGAGTGAGTGCACAGCAGTGAACAAGAAGAACCAACAGACCAGCAACCTCATCTTGTGCTGCATCTCGCTTGTCAATGTCTCTGGCTTGTCAATGTGTCTCGCTGTTCTCTCGCTGTTCTCTGCATTGGAAGCGGTGAAGCAGTGAAGCGAAAGATCTCTCTTTTTCTTTTCTTTTTTTTTTCTTCTTTTCTCTTTTTTTGTTCACAGACAGACAGGCAGACAGACAGACAGACAGACACAGATAGACACACACGCACACATGAAGGTATCAAGCACCCGACGCGACGGTGATCGAGAGAGAGAGAGAGAGAGACAGCGACAGTGAGGTGGATCGTGGAACACACACACACGCGGAAGAACGGCCGCCCCCCTTCATCCCCACTCCAATCCACTACCACTCCACTACCACTCCACTACCACTACCACGAGAGAAGCACGTTCAGGCCAGAGAGTTGGAGGGGGGGGAGATATGCTCGCTGTGTGTTACCGTCAAACTCAGTGTCCGTGTACGTCTTGCCAATGGCAGCGAACAGCGCAGAGCGATTCACACTGATGGTCGGCATGAGTGAAGTGAGTGCTGTTGTTAAAAAAAAGAACAAATAAGAGTGATGAAGATTTTGATGGTTGAAATTGGATGGATGGATGGATGGGCGATGAAAGGCTCAATCTCAGGTGGTTTGGCTTTGGCTTTTGCATTGAGCCGCTCAGATTGCATTCAAGTCACCCACTCTGCTCCCTCACTCATTCATTCATTCTTTCTTTTTTTGTTTATTATTGGAAATCAGAACGTTCAACTCGCAGAGACGGACGCCAGAATGGCAATCCAGCAAGGACGATTGAGATTGAGACTCGGATTGCTGCCAGTGCTCGCGCTAGTGCTGCTTCTAGCCACGACAGCAGCGACTGCAGACGACAGTGACAATCAGGGTAACAGACCCCTCGCAAAATGTGATGAAAGTGCAGCGGAGGGGGGCAGTTGAACTGAACGTTGACGTGCTGACTTTTGGCATTGCAAGTCAACCCGCTGGCTGCCATCGACGTGTGGCTCGGTCGACTCGGTGGACGCCTCGACACAAGCCTCGTCGAACTGCGCAGCGATGGCGACCGCGGCAGGGGTCTCGTTGCCAAACAAGCCATTCCTGTAAGCTACTGTAATAAAAACACAACCACAACCAAATCGAGATAACTCAAGTTCTCAGACATTCGTGTTGTGATTTACACCACATTGACAGTGTGTGTGCAAGAATCATTTGCCGTTCACTCATCCATTGGCCCCTTTGCTTTTGTTGTGACAGCCAAAGACGGTCTTTGCGAGAATCCCGCTCACAGCACTCATCAACATTGAACACGCAATGGTGAGCGATCTCGGTCCAGTGATTGACGCATCCGACCTCTCGGATCAAGAAATCATGAGCGTCTTCTTGTGGCATCAATTGCACGGATGCGGGCAAGTCGAGGACGGAGGCGTGGCCGAGTCAAACTGGCAGCCGTTCCTCGACACCCTGCCAGACCGGCAAGAAATGCACCTGACAATGCTGTGGACACCCGAGCAACTTGCGCATCTGGATGGTTCTCTCTTGCGCGACTTTTCCGAGCGTCGGATTCAAGTCCTTGAGGCATCGTTCAGTCAGTTTGATTTATCGATGTTTTGCTATTGTGGTGCATGTTACGACTCTCTCACTTGCCATTGTTTGCTTGTGTGTTTGTTTGCTTGCTTGCTTCTGCTAGAGCGGCATCAGCAAAGCACATTCGGCAAGTTTCCGAGCGCAGAGTCGTGCGATTGGACCAAATTCACCCTCGAGGACTTTTTGTGGGGCATGGCGATCGGTTGGAGTCGCACACATGCCGTCCGTGTCCGCGACGGCGAGGGCGCATGGCAGACTGCCAATTGTAAGCTGCGCCACCAGTACTCCGTCAGCCCTTGTGTGCTCATTCCTTTGTTTTTTGTTTTTGGTTGTTTTGTTTTTATTTTGCAAAAGGTCTTGTTCCGGTCGCGGATCTCCTGAATACTGACATTGCCAGCAAAGTGAACGCCGAGTGCTACACCAACGATGAGTCTACGCATTTTGAATGCCGGACGCGGCACCAGCTGGCTCAGTCGGAAGAGGTTTGTTGAAATCGAGCATGTGGTTCTTTCGAGTATGCCTATTCACACCTGATGTTTATTGCCGTGTGACCTCCAAAGCTTCTTGCACAGTACAATGCGGATAGCGCATCCATTGACAACCACCACCTCTTGATGGACTACGGGTTTGTTCTGAACGATGACTCTGCTCGGCGAGCTGCAACGATTGGTCGCCCCATTCCGCTTGACGATCCCGATCGTGCTAAGCGTCTATCGGTGTTGAAACAGCACAAGATGCAAATGTATGGACCCCGAAACAGTAGTGCTGGGCCTTTTTGTTTTGGTGGCGAGCTGGTGACTGCAAATGTGTCTTACCAAAAGCTTTCGTTCAAATCCAGGGGAATGAGCTTGCCTCTGTCCTTTACAGATTTTGAGCTCCCGTTGACGTACTATCGCATTCTGTGTGCTCGATCGCAGGTGCTCAACTCAAAGTGGACCCCAAGCTTTGTGAGTGGAATTCTCGGATTTGTCTGAACATTTTGTGTTGTATGTTTTTCGGTGCACTGATGTTGCGTGGCACATCATCTGAACATCAACCAGAAACCAACCATCCTGCCAGAAGAAGAGACGTGCGCCCGAGACCACCTGCGTGTGGCCATGTTGGAGCAACTTGGACGATTCCCGACCAAGCAAGCGGTAAAGTCGTTGTTGTTGTTGTTTGTCTCTTGTTTTCCGACATCCAATGGTTGCAGCAATGAGCTAATAAGCCATTACCTTTCTGTTTGTACCCACGCTTAGAGCGAGCCCATTGCACTCGCGCAGATCCAAGCAGCGTTTGCTGAAAACTGCAAGACCAACCCGACCAACGCCAAGTGCATCTCGTTACACCGGCAGGCGCTTGCCATCCAGTTGCGCATTTCGGAGCGTGGTTTGTTGAGCGATTTGGTGCAGCGTCTCACTCAAAAGGAGACTCCATCGAAAACAGAGTTGTAAACAAATTAGCGCAAATTTTGTTGTTGTTGTTTTTGTTGTCATCTTTTTTTTCTTTTGCGGCGATGATTTCCCATCGATGAGCAGGCGTATCAATGGGGGAGTTAGTTGTTTAAAAATATTCGTTGAACTTGGAATGCGCGACAATGTTGTAGACTTTGAAGAGTTACACATGCAACCACGATGACAAATCAATATGAAAATTTCACAAAACAAAAAAGGGAATAGAAGGAAGTCGATGGGAAGACGAGAGAAGGGCTCGCTTCAAGCCGTTCATTCACAGGACCATTAAGGACTGCCGGGCTTTGGTTTTGGCACGCTTTTATCCTTGTTCTTGATAAATCCCTGCGTGCCTCGCCCACGTCGGATTGGACGTGCGGGCTTGATGTCGGTGTGGCGCGCAGGTTCGAGCGGAGGCACGTCTGCGACAAGGTTGCGCGTGTTCGCCTCCTTCTTGACGCGGTAGATGCGCACCAGCCAATGTTCGGTCGTGTATGCCTCTTCGAGGTGAGTGAAGGAAATGTCCTTGTTGCCAATTTCGGCGTTTCGGGTTCGGTCCCAGCCTGACGGCTTGCCCCACTCGGACTGGAACTCGCCAAATCGGTAGTAGCACATCTTGTACATGAGCGAGTTGAGCAGCGTCGGGGAGCCGTTGCGGTCAACCAAGAACTGACCGTCCTGCGTGAAATAGTCTGACTCGCGAATGTCATTCGGGTGCTCGCCTTGCGCAATGCGCACCATCCACAAGAACTTGTTAATGTCGTCACCCGAGTAGCCAATTACGCCGCCGAAAATGATGAGCACGTAATCGACACTGAGCTCGCGCATGATGGGGTAGGCTTTCTCTTCTGTGGACGACATTGCCTGCAGGACACGAGTGAAATGAACAAGCGGTCGAGTCAGAACAAATCGGCAAAGCAAACAAAACAAACAAAAGGAAGGCAAACCAAACAAACAAAAAACCAACCCCACCTTTCCAACCATGGCAATGTGCGAGTTGTTCCAGGTGTTGTTGTCGACGAGGGTGGTGCGGTTGGACATGCCGGCAATCTGGTAGCCGTAGTCCCACCAGGACATGATGGTGGCATCGTCGTCCGTGTTGGAGCGCAGCCAGTGGTAGGCCTCGCGGAAGTCGTCGAGAATGGTGCGCGAGCCGTCTCCTCGCTGGGTCGACAAGACGACAGAGGGCGAAGAGTAGGCGTTCGAGGTAACCCATGTGCAGTGGAAGACAAACAGGGCGAGGAGAACGGTGACAACACCAACCACCAGCATGGACGCCTCGCGAGGCATGGTTGGCGTGCGGGTGTCCGGGGTGAGCTCCGACCCAGCGGGTGCGACCATGGATTGGCGCGTGGCGAGTTTTGCCTGCGGGGCGGACGAAGAGGTGGAGGCCGGCGATGCGGCGGTGGTCGAGCCGTCCTCTGCGCGACCAGAGTCGAACAAGTACGTGTCGAGCGTGTTGGAAATGGCGACGGCGGCCAGGATGCACACAACGGGGGTCAGGGTGAGCATCAGGCGCACCATCACGCCAGCAAAGTAAACACCCGTGACGGCATAGAGCACGATAAAGACGCGCTCGTCGGTGGGCTTGCTGAAGAACAGCCAGAGACCAGCGGGGAAGATGCAGACAAGAATCTGCAGGTCGAAAAAGAAGGACGTCCAGGTGGTCGGCTGGTGCTCTGAAACGGACGCAATAATGGGAATGTGGATTTTGGCATAGCCGGTATCCCAGAGCGAGTAGAACCGACCCGTCCAAGGGGCAATATAGCCCATGTAGGTGAGCACCACAACGCCGACAAACACGGCGGCCGAGCCAAAGATGAAGACGGCGCGGAAGATGACGCGAGCCGAGTTGGCCGGAAGGTGCTCGCGGACGATGGAGAGGAGCGCCATCGCCTGGAGCAGGAGGAAGATGCCGAGACCAGCCATGTGCTCGCTGGTGCGCACTGGCTGGAAGCCGACGAACGGCACCTGCATCGAAAGCAGGGTGCCGATAATGTAAAAGACCGAGAAGGCCACGTAAATGCGATGCGAATAGCGGCCCATCAGCAGCAGCACAAAGACGTGCAGCGGGATCAAGTTGATGATAAAGACATAACCACCCCATGCAGCCACCATGTACCCGTACGACACGGCGCAAAAGACGGCCCACATCATGCTGCCCGTCTTGATGGCCTTGACCCACAAGTAGTATGTGAAGAGCAGCGCAAAGATCGCAATGCCCTCGTTATCGTACGATCCGGCGACAGAGCGCGAGATGTATCCGGGGACTGTGATGAGAGTTTGGGGAGAGGTGGGGAAGAAGACAGGAAGAGAAAAAAAAAGTGCAGTTGTTCGTCCAAGACCAGAGTCAATCACAGGGCCTCACATGCACCCCCCTCCAAAATCCACAAACACACCAAACACACCAAAACACAGTGCCATATGCGCGTGCGCAGACATACCGATGCCAATGAACGCGGCAGCAAGCAAACCAGCACCCTCCGTCCAGAGTTCGCGAGTGAGCAGGAAGGTGGCGAAGGCGGTCAGCGCGCTGAACAGCGGGGCAAGGAAGACGCAGACGTCGCGGATGTGGATGGGAATGTTGAGCGAGTTCATGACCCAGTGGATGAGGCCTGAGGTGAACATCAAGCCCGGGTAGACGGTGCCGCCGACAATGCGGCCCAGCGGGAACCAGGCGCGCTCGTCAAACCAGTTGATAAACTCGCTTACGCTGTGGGTGACCATGTACTCTGTCGCGCGATAATTGAACCTGTGTCGACAAAGTGGAGTGGAGTGGAGTGGAGGGAAGTGAAGTGAGATTGGTTGGGGTTGCACACGAGCAAGCCGTCCAGATCCATCATCACGATCAGCCGCGTTCCCTTTGGCAGTGCTGCAGAGTGGCAGTGAAAGCCGGGGGGGGGAGTAACAGCAGAGTGACGGGCAGGGCAGTGGCAGTGTATGGGAAAAGGGCGCGATCTCAGGCTTCTATTGAGCGTTTTGAGCTGAGCTGGGCTGGGCTGGGCTGGGCTGGGCTGCAGCGTCTGTCTGTTTGTCTCAGGGTTGCATGTGTGTGCTGCTGCTCTGATCCATACACCATCACGAATGGGGTTTGCGTCTCGGGAATCGGCAGGCAAGACAGCCTCTCTCTCTCTCTCCTCTCTCGCTCTCTCAATCTCACTACCATTGACCGTGGTTCTCCCTAACCCTGGCCCTCTCGCTTACCATGGATCAAACTCGTGGATGATGCTCTCAAAGCGGATGACGGCAAACAGGCGCGATGCAAACGCAAGCAGTCCGATCAGCGCCAGAATCGTAAATGTCAGCAGCTTGAGCGTCCCATTGCTGCCAGACGCCGATGGATGTGCTGCTGCTGCTGCTGCTGCTCCTCGCGATGGGGCAACTACAGTCATGGCAACGGAAAAAAGAGTCTGAGAAAGAGAGAAAGAAAAAAAAGACGAAAAACGACAAAAAAGAGAAATGACAATTCTCAGAAATGGCAGAATTTTCAGCTCAAAAGATTTGCTAAATTCTATCGCGAGTGTCAGAAAATAACAATGTACATATTGGATACAAGATTTGACTACCAGAAACAAAGCAACGCTTTCAAGCAACAGGCGTCGCAGATGGTGCAACAGGGACCAGAGAATAACGAGAGTGCGCGTCAGCAGCGCCCGAATCCTCGGGTTTCCAGGAAGTGGGGAGATCGAATGTGGCAGAGAGGGAGGAGGCCGAGTGCTGGTTGCTGGACGCTTCACTGGCATCGTCGGAGGCGGACATGTTGTGCTCGTGCTCGGGAGACGAGACACTCGGCGCAGTGCCACTCATTGCTTCCTCGGGCTTGGTGGTCGCCATCGACTCGGGGTTGAACATGACCAGATTCACGGAATCAGTGCCAGCAACGGCACGAAAGCCAGCCTGGCTGAGCATCTCCAGCGCGCGCTGCTGCACGGTGGGCGGAGCCTTGCTGCCGCAGATGCGATTGAGCCGGTGGAGGCAACGCGTGTCGTGGCGCTTCAGGTGGTGGTTGAACTTGAAGCCCGCGCCGCAACGCTCGCAAGTGTACGGACGAATGTCGCCGTGGGAAATCATGTGCTTCTTCAGCGCGGCCTTCTCGCGGAAGGTCTTGCTGCAATCGGCCATCGTGCACACGAAGGGGCGCATGGTGGCATGTGTGCGGACATGCGCCGAAAGGCGGTCGGGACGGCGGAAGATTTTGCCGCACTGGCCGCAGGTCACGTCGTCGAGCAGGAAGCCCTCCGCAAGCGCATGGCGAGCGTTGGCGCGCGTGACGGCCGTGGTGTGGCGGCGCGAGTCGTCCTCGGCGTCCGTGTCGTCCGAGTCCTCTGCAGAGCTGCTGCCAGAGTCGGACGAGTGGTTTCGGGCACGGCGCAATCCGCCGCGCGCGTACGAGCCATCTTCGTCCGAGCCAGCCGAGTCGCTGTCGTCCGACTGGCGCCTGCTGCTGCGGTGGTGCGAGTGTCGTCGGCTCGAGTGGTGGTGGTGGCGCTTGCCACTCGACGAATGGTCTCGCTCACGAGCGTGGTGGTGGTGGTCTCGGCTGCTGTGGTGATCGCGTTCACGGTCACGGCCGAGTCGGTCACGGCGGTGGGACGAGGAGGACGTCGACGAGATGGACGAGGTTGTGACGGACGCGTCGCTGCTGCCCATGAAGGGTGTCTTGGGCCAGTGATCGCCACCGGCAGGAGCGGCTTCACCGAACGAGTTGACCATTGGCACAGTGCGCGGCGGCATGACAGCGGGGTTGTTGTGGATGCCCATGCCGGCACCCGATGCAGCACTGCCAACAGCAGTGGTCGTCGTCGACGGCGCAGTCGGGGCAGCGACAAGGCCATTCTGGTGGTGTTGTGGGTAGTAGCTGGATGCGGACGAGT